CCCGACTGGCTCCAGGTTCCAGTAATGGCAGCAGCGGGTTTTGCGCTTCTCTCATCAGCTTCCTCCATTTCACTTCCGATGTTTCTCGCTATTTCTCCTTCGTCGGGAGCACGACCGTGAAATTGCGATGGCCGTTTTACGAAATCCATCATCAATTGATGCTGGCCGCGTTTCGAAGTCACTAATTCCATTGCCGAAATCATAAATGGCACTGTTGCCTGCAAGCTTCTGCAAGTGATGTCTTTCAGCAGGTCAACCGTCAAGGCTTGAAAGACCGTTGTTAACAGATCTTGTCGGGCAAACGACTTTCNTTTCTCTGAAATAAAGCTGCATAATCGGATAGTGCCCTGTTCAAAACCCCACTCTTAATTTCATGAATTTACAAATGAAATTCAAATCCGACGGCAAGATACAGGTGCAACGCGTGCCAGCACGAGACAAAATCACATCTTATGTAAGAATAAATAATAAAAATTGGCAACTACAGCCCAAATTGTGCGACAAATTGATGCGATCGAGATACTCTGAAGATCTCCGAGAAAACGGCATTTTAATACCGAAAACTGAATGGAAACTTCGTGAATATACATTTCGATTTATTTAAATCTGAAATCCCGCCGTGACCTACTGACCATTGTGTAAACAATACGGAGCCCTTTGAGGTTAACATTTTTGTTATTACCGGTCATCTGGTTACCGGTTTTTCGTTGTGAAAATTTATTTGCGTGCATCAAGAAACTCGACACCACTCGCGAAGCGAAGTCGATGTCGACCCCTGTCGGACGAGTGACCCGGATCGATTGGCAGCGAGAAAGCAAATGCTTCTGGATTCACCCGTTGAAATCAAGGGTAAACAAAAGACAAATGGGTAAACAAAAGGGGTAACTGGGGGGGGGTTTCGCCGACGAGACCTTTTCGCCGAATGACTGTTTCTTAGAATCGGTACAGTTTCGCAGAAGAAAAACAAGCATCTCTCGGTGCTTGTTTGGAGAAATGAATCCTTGCACTGCTTTTTTTTTACCGTTTAAACACCAAAATGGCGTTTAAAGGTTGAGTGAGGTGGAATTGCCCGACTGGCTCCAGGTTCCAGTAATGGCAGCAGCGGGTTTTGCGCTTCTCTCATCAGCTTCCTCCATTTCACTTCCGATGTTTCTCGCTATTTCTCCTTCGTCGGGAGCACGACCGTGAAATTGCGATGGCCGTTTTACGAAATCCATCATCAATTGATGCTGGCCGCGTTTCGAAGTCACTAATTCCATTGCCGAAATCATAAATGGCACTGTTGCCTGCAAGCTTCTGCAAGTGATGTCTTTCAGCAGGTCAACCGTCAAGGCTTGAAAGACCGTTGTTAACAGATCTTGTCGGGCAAACGACTTTCAACAAAACGGACCCTCCTTGCTAAAACCGGTTATTCGGCGAAGCGACTTGCTTGCGAAACGGAGCTTTCGGTGAATCGGGTTTCGACGAAACGCCCCGGTCCCATTCAGCCGTCTGGGATATGCGATTTTAGTTGCAGATGAGACTGGCTTCAGTCGGTTTCCCTGAAGTTCTATTTGCTTTCCGTTGTAATATTTTCAAGGAGGCGGTATTAAAAAATTTATGAAAAAAGGCGAAAAAGAATTTTGATTTCTTTTAAAGCTAGTATTTTTGTTTGAACTGAGCAACAGCAGTAAGGTAAAAAAAAAATTCAAGAAGTATCTGCTTATGACATGCAAATTCCGCGTTGCAGTATCTTATGTTCCTATCGAATTAGAATTTATCACAGAATTAAGAATACCACGTGCGAAGCGTTCCTCAAGTAAGATCGTATCCGTAAGTTATATTGAATTTCTCCTGTCCGCGATATGACCTTTATTTCCTCCCGATATTTCGCTGTCGTGCTAAACGATCGCGGCCACCGGTCTTTCGCTGGGTAATTTGTTCATCGAACTTAGGTGTTCCTTAACACTCCTTGCCGGGCAAATGGAATGAATATTGCCGAGAACTTCCACATAATGTCATTTTTGCATTGGACTTGGACATTTGAAGGTTGCTGCCAATTGCAAGGTCACGCAAATGTGGAATTTACGCGCTTTTATCTCGCTAGTTCCAGAAAAAAAATTCCTGCGACGCGGAAGCACCCGCTGAAAAAAATTTCTTGCCGGTATTGAATCGATGAGCCTTGATTGGGACGCAGAGCGCACGAAACTTATTGTTCACGCGAGGTCATAAATTTTCGATTCATGAGCGATGAGATCACGAATCTCCAGAAGGAACGGAGCGCAACCCCTCACGAATAATTTTTCCCATGTCGCTCGTTATTCCACACCGTCCGCCAACGTTCGGCTGAAATTTGAGAAGCTCCCATTGAGGAGTTCCATTCATTACAGATGGAATACACGCGGAAGTCGTGCAGGAGGCCCGGCAGGGCGATGAAGGAATGACGGATGGGCGCGTCCCCTCCCGCTGCTTCAGGCCGCTCTTTTGTTGCCCGATGGACCACGGGTATTGTTCTTCCGTGTGGAACGTGACAGGTTCTGTCATCTGTTGTGTTCGAAAAGACACTGTTGAGTTTTAAGTTTTTCTCGCAGATGTCGCGGTTTCCAACACGACCATCTTGGAAGTTCTGTGCTACCACCTTTCTCGCATTCGCCTGGGATGGTTCCAACATTCCCCTCTAATTCTCTTTCAGTATGTATCTATTATGCACACTATTCATCGTATGGCTGGTCAGCTTTATCTGGCACTATTTTAGAAGAATATTCGAAAATTCACAAATGATGCCTCCACATTACAATTACGATTAGAGGTAAACATAAAAGAATTATGGAAGATAGAAGATAACATAGGAACCCAGTTTTATTTTTGGGAAGATTTGTTACAAGAAATAATGGGCCGTTTCGGCCCATATATTTCCCACACCTCATTTTTCCTCCTCCTAAACCGGGTACCGAGCGCCTTGAGTTCCCGGGGAGGAAATAAGGTGTGTACCCATACGCCTGGGTTGGGCCCGGCTGGGTATCGAACCCAGCCTCCCGGACGGCACGCGGACGCTCTGCCAACTAGGCCGTTTCCGCCGGTTGTCGAGAAACGTGGAAAAAGGATGGGTTTGTGTCGTGTGCCCGAGGAGGATCGGAGAGGCCTGGGGGGAAGCGAGGGGAAAAGCCACTCGTGTGTCTGTGCGAGCATTGCGTGTATTCGTTACTTCTATCGGTGGAGCTCCGTCGTTCTCGTGCACCCGGGAATATTCTCGGTCGTCCGTTGCGTGGTGCTGAAGTTCTTTCAACATCGAACTAATTGCATTTGTACGAACATTTGTTCGTAAATCATATTGAAATAATGATAGTGTCCTTTTCAACGGAAACCGAGTGAATCGGTGAATGAATATATCTTTGGCGGCGGGACTCGAGTCCGCCACCTACTTGGAGACGGGCGTGAACGAGCAGTCGACGCCTATGGAGGACGAGGGGGGGAGTCGGGTTCGTTTAGTTCATCCCGTTGAGGTCTCTCGGGGATCCATCGCCCATCTCCATCCATGCTGGAGCCGGGGCGCTTCTCCGCTCGAACCCACGAGGTACGATCTACTTTGCACCTCTCGGAGGTTTCTTTGGTCAAAATTGCGATTCGAGAGCGAAGTGACTTCCTTTTAGGATTAGGAGTGAACTGTATGTGGGGAAAGTTTCTTGAAGTTGAAGCGTTACAGAATGCAGACTGCAAATCATGAGTGACCTTACCCGGACCTCACTTCTCGCCGTATCAAGTATTAATTTTGGAAGTATCGTTAGCAATAAATTCATTATTTATTTTACTTTAAGAATTTCATCCGACAGAAATATGAAACATAAAAGGTTTCTTTATTTTTTTTTTCCCTCATTAACCTGGAGGGGAGAGGATAAATCCAGGTGAAGTTTCTATCCTATAAATTTGTTAAGTCTTCATCACAACCACCAGAGGCAAAGGAGCCTTGTGATCCTCTCCTGTCTCCATTCATTTCGTGCCTGTGATCAATTCTTCTTTAGGAGATTAACAAAAATGTGTTATGTGTGAAGAACTCTGCAGTTGAGTACTGGTATATCACTTTATTCGCAACTCATGGCTGAAAAACATCAGTTTCGTTCTCCATCAGAAATGGATGTGCACAATTGCCACAAATAAGGCACATTGAAGTTTTAGGCCTCTTTCATACATTAAGCATGCAAATGAAACTTTATAAGAAGTGCTAATGCAATAACTATGTTAATGGAGAGATCAACATCGTTTTTTTCACTCTTTCTCTTTTACCTAAGAGCTCCCTCCTCACAGAAGAGGGATCTGCACGCACATGTTCCACGGGGGGACTAGTGTAAGTGAATCCCCTCAATATCTGAAAAAGAAATTGCACAAGCTAGGGGTAAGAAATGAGGCAAGGACAGTAATGCAATCTCCAGCCAACAGACAGACATAGCTGTCAATTACAGATTCTGGTTTTCCCCACTGTCTAGTTATGTTTTCTGAAATTTTCATTGTGGCTTACTAAGTTTGGACAGGATTGCACATGATAACTCTAGGTCTCTGACTATTTACAAAACACTTTATTCCAGACTTAAAATAAAACAGCCCCATCATCCTCTATAAGACATTCTCCAGGCCAAGACTGTATTGCACTCCACCCAAAAAGCCACACAATGAATTGGACACATTTCATCAGGCTGACATAGATCCAGAATTGACCTGAGAATCAAGAAAGAATGATTATTTGAGGATGACTGACAAAGGGGCCTGCCCTGACTCTGCCAACTTATTTTTTGGCTTGCATGTACTCAATGAGAAGGAAATCCTTCATACTTCAAATAGTCCAAGGTGCAATACCAAAAATTTCATTCCTTTGCAGCTGGGAAACCACTCCCAGCCAGCCTGAGAGAAAGCGAGTAAGGCCGACCCATATCACAGACACTTTCTGTCACAATGGTTGTAACACTTGAGAAACTAGGATTATGAGGACTACATATGGAGCATCAGGATCCTAGAGATGTTTAACTTCAAGAAACATATGTTGTGACTTGAGGTTTCTGACTCTTGATACACTCCTTTCCATAGCGTCTCCTTGCTTCCTTGAGAAATGCATTCACATTCTGCCTCACCACTTCATTGAAGAACACCTGAGCAAAGTGCGAATGAAGGGCCGAGCGAAACTCGAAAGCCACAGAGAAGTCCAGCGTGCAAGTCTGGGGATTTGTCTTCATTCCGGGGGAGAACTTCCAAAGGGCGATAAGGTAATTGAAGAGCCATCCGTCAGTGCACTCTGACCTCACCAGGTTTGGGGGGGTGAGTGTGATGCTCGATGTGTAGGATTCCGACAGCGGGGGGAATCCCACCTGCATGCGGGCCGTGATGTGGCCTGGACGACGAGCTACCACATCCGATTGCGTGCACCACGGTACAAAGTTTTTGTAGTGTTCTATTTCTGCCACCACTCGGAACATCTGCTCCATCGAGTACCTGGAAATCAATCATGGACAACTTGCACAAACAATGATCAAGCGGCAATTAGGGGAGACAGGTTGAGATGCAATGATTCACTGCTGATGATAACTTGACAAATAGGATGATTAAAATGGTCCCTTGGTGCCCAAGAACGATTCACTGACCCAAGGAGCCGGCGTTCAGAATATTCTTTCTTCTTAGACTTGGCAGGTGAAAAGAAGAAACGTATCCTTCCAACCCCATTCCAGGGGGTTGTAAGAGTTTTTGCTCTTGCTCTGCCCTCGTATCCACTCAGTCGTGTTGGGATGAAAACCCTTCCATGCAGCATAATAACCTGCCTTCATCTGACCTATTGCATCGCAGTTCATATCGACATTGCTCATTGAATCTTGAATTATTCTAAGGAATAAAAAAAATTGGGATGAGAGATGGGAATGCTGGCCCAGAGTAGCAGGGGACCTTGCTCTCCTCTCCTCCATGCCGTAGCATCACTCAATCTTTTGTTTGTTTATTTTCACATTTATAAGAAAAAGCAACTGCACTCTCTACCCTCCTATATGCAGCTTCATTAAAGCATACAATGCAACACCAGAGAGAGTAAATAGGAGCAACCAAATGATGGAGCCCTAAAAGATATCATCACAGGCGTGTAAGCCTAATCTTTCTAAAATGATCTTTGGAACAACATCAGGCATGGTGATGATCAAACAACCAGCACTGGGCAAAAACAGGGGTAAAGTGCTAAGGTGAGGTGTGAGGCAGACCAGACCAGACTGAACTCAAGGGTAGATCCATCGTGCAGTAGAGTACTGAATCTAGATGTGACTCTGAGTCGGGTAGAACTTCATCTCGGAGAGGACAACATCTACGAGGAGGTCCTTGAGTTCTGCATCTCGCTCGGGTGAATAATCGGCAAGAAATGCTTTCATCTCTGCTATGCATTTGCTTTCCAGGTCTTTCAATGTGGACAGGTGATCCTTGTTGTTCCCCATCCATGCCTTTTCGTGGAGACGGTACAAGTGGTGTCGTCGATCCACCTCCTTCCGGAACCGTGGCTTCATCTGAAAAAATAATTAACAACTTGTAAACCACATTGCATATGAAATATTGTACTCAATATCTATGTTATGAAAAACCACCTTAGCTGGATCCTCATGAGGAGGAAACACAGGACTCTGAAGATGAGTGGATATACATACATCTGGGACGAAGACAAAAGGCTTGAATACGGATCTGATGGGATCAGGGGTGCCTGTGAACCAGTGGCAGCTGGGTCCCTTCATTCCTTCCCCACGCAATTCAGAGACCTACAGATGCCAGATGCAGAACCCTCCTCATCTGATACCATCATCACACAAGCACCAGTAGAAGTATGAGATGAGGAAAAAATTAAGATCCAAGCATTATGATCTACATAAAAGCAAGGGAAGTTCAAGCAGTGCATACATGAAAATACAAAATTCCCAAGATGAGCAGAGTAAATAAATAATTTGTAGGGAGATGTATCTGCCATGCAGATGTGTCAGTCATGCACTTAAAACATGCAGATAAGACAATTTCTTCAAAGTGTGGGAGGAAGAGAGGGGGATATGGTGATCTAGTGAGTACCTGACTGGAAGCAGTTGGATGAGAGTGGCTAGAATCCCGGGCTATCCCAGATTCCGTATTCCTCAACACTTCCATCATGTGATCAACCTCGAAAGCCCCTGCTTTCAACCAGAGTCACATGAAGCAACAATACTGACTGTAGGTTTCTAAAGAAACATCTGCAGGTTTTTGCCTCTTGAATGATTAGGAAGACATCATCTCCCCTCCTTCCTCCATAAATGCTGCAGTAATTTTAAGTTGCAAGCAAGCAGATTTCTAGCTAGTATAGTAAGGGCAGGCTACAGGCAAACATCAGCATCCACAAGTTTGGGTAGATCTCCATAATGTGCCCTTAAATGACTCACTTGAGAGGAAACAGAAAGGAAGAACCCATGCCTCATACAGATTCCACTGGGCTCATGGCGCAGCACACTCATCATCTCCTCAGCACCAAACTTTCCTTTTGTGAGTTTTGATACACATGAATCCAATATTGACAGTTTCCCTTCATTCCCCAACTCTTAGGATTTTGATAATAACAGATGAAATGTGCCAGATCATCTTTAACAATTTAATTTGACTGCATGATGGGGATCTACAAGAATGAAATCAAACATGATTTTCATTCAGTTTCATACAGAAATAAATTGAAATATGATCTGGCATGTGACAGCCAAAACGTTACATGTACTTCCCTTCAGTGAGGGAATGCGAAGAAGGGGAGATTGATGCATTGGGTAAAAATATTATCAGAGCAGTGACAAAACTACTCACGATCCTTGGAGAGGGTTGTGAGAAGTCGACGACCAGAGGTCTCACGGATGCAGGCAGCTCCTCCACCAGAATCCAATGCTTCAGCAAAATTGAATTCTCCATTTCCATTCCACCAACCTTTCTCTTTAGCTATTTCCTGGAGGTGGGGGGAGCTCAGCGTGATTTCTGTCCGGATCGACAGCTGGTTCGAGATGTTGTACACTCCACCTGAATACATACCAAACTCTTTCTGCAAATTTGCTCAACACATGCAAGGGGCAGTGAAGAAAGAATTGAGCTTGCGAACCAGTGATTTTCAAGGCAGCCCAGAGTGGCCCAGCAGTTTCCAAAACCCAAGCCTCTTTAGGGTCAGCAATGAGGAAGCTGTTATGATAGGTGAAGTCCGGATCGGAGTCCGAACACGGACCGCCTTGCCCGTATTTCTCGAGCAAACCCACGATGACATCTAGGGCTTCTTTGGCTGTTCCTCCTCTCTCCAAACCCAAGCTGAAAACAGTCATGACTTCTTGAATCTCCTCATTTTAAAGAAAACAACAAAAAGGGACTGAAACTGGGATACACAGAGTACCCTCACCGCACAAGATCCATCCCAAGGAGTTTTTCCTTTGAGTCCTCATGTGAGTCCATGGCCTTAGTCCAGACGGCTTCATTTCCGATGCAGACGTTCTTGTCGTTGGCTCCCATTTCGGCTCCCCACATCCATGCTGGCTTGCTCAGTATCACCCCATGAGTCCATTTCGCCTGCTCGATCTCGATGTACGTACACTGGAAGGAAATACTCCATCTAACAGTTGTGACATATTCCTTCCTGCCATCTCCATGTCACTCACCTGAACTGTGCTCTCTTGGTGATCCTGACCAGGGACGTAGACGATCTCCTGGACTTCATCCCGAGGCCGATCTGAGTTTTTCCCAAATACCACTCCCCCATGTGATGTGCAGTTTCCCATCACCACAAATGTGTCACATGATCCCCTCATTGCACCATGTAATTCCTTCATCTTGTTCAAAAACCCTAGTCTATGAAAGACTTCTCAGTGACCTAGCTGGGAGAAGAAAGCACTTCCATTCAGAATTACACATTTTAGTATGTGTCCAGGGAGTAATGCACTAAAATAGTGACTGGTCCTTTACAAATTGACAGGGGAGCTACAGGTTGAAGTTATAGGAGAAATCAAGGGATTTTCCTATTCCATGCCCACATGATATCCCATGTGGCACCTGTATGCCATAAATGTCAAGATGCCAAACATTGATCTAGCCAAGGAGGATGGATAAATTCATTCAAGAATTCATATTGCTTCACAATTCAGCCAGTGTTCTTAAAACAATTGTTTCACTTGGGTCCTGGAGCCAAGATAAGTGATAATCAAGTTTATGCAAAGCTGCCTTCAATTCACTGGCTGAAATCCCATGAAGTTTGTATTTCTTCTTTATCTGATGAAGCAGGAAATGGAAATCAGACAAGGCACAAGTGGCATAGTAAAGCAGTTCTCGCTCGTTGGGTCCACGGAGGATGGCCAACGTGTCGTCTTCGGTCCGCCGGGGAAGTTCCTTTCTGTCCTCATCAGGGGTCAACCATGGATGGTCTAGCAAACTTGCCTGTGGCACTTTCACAGCCTCAGAGGCAGATGCAAACACCCGATTAGCTGAAAGGCATGGAGAAAGCACCCAAAGTCCATGGACAGCCTCTTCAATGAACTCTGGCTCTCTATGGTCCCCGTGATACAGCCGCACCACATAGGCATATGCATAGATGAGATTCACTACGTTCCAAGCAACATGAGGAGAAGGAGATTTGACCTTCAAAGCAGACAGTGGTGGTTGCTTTCGAATGGCAGGACAATGAGACTTCCAGCTATTGGCTTGTGATTTTCCAATCTCTTCAACTGGATGTCGCTCTTCCCACCAGGGTTTCCAATGCCCTCGGGGGACGAGATCCTTAATACGACCTGTTCGAAGCAAGGCCTGGAAGGTATCCCGCTCCGTACCGGTAAGACGGGACCAAACGGCTTCAGAGTCGTTCAAATTTATGCCTTCCATTCGATCAGTAATGTCTTCCTCCACATCACCCGTGTCATCACTTTCATCAGCTTCTGCATCTTGCATCCGGTGAAGGATCTCCATCATCTGCTTTTGCGATTCTGGACCACTTTGGACATCCTTCAAGCCATCCAGGAAGCAATTCTTGTAGAACTGCTCTGAACAAGCCAGATGATTGGCATTTTTGTAGCAGGGGACCGAGCAGTAGTGCACTCCGCATCGTGGACATTCGTACGTCCCTTTCTTGGGACAATACTGACATGTATGTTCTCTTTCACTCATTTCTTCCCTTTGACATTGCATTTTCTATTTAAAAAAAAAAAACCACCTGAACTTAACTTTAGAATACTGGAGTGTGGATCCCCAACAATGAAACAGATTCATGAATAAAGTCCCAAGAATTACCAATCAGGGTCAATGACACCAGTCATTGACTGCTGCCACCACTGGCAACAGAGCTACCTTCTTTGCTGGATGCCAAGCCCATCCAAATGACAGAGACCCCACAGTTTCATATTAGATCATTTCATTCATTCATTCCAACCACAAAATACTGGAAAGGGAAGGCTAAGAGGACAGGAGAGTGAGGAGAAGAAAGGCAAGGGGAGGAAATGCAAAGAGAAGGTCAAACAGAGAGGCAAACAGGGAACAGATGATAAAGATACATCCATCTTGGGTCATCATTCCCATTCTGTTGTACCTGGAGGCTTTGAAGTGAGGTCATAGAGAACACGGGATATTCCCTGGATACCTGCTAGCTCCGAGCACATTGCATTCACCACCTGAAGAACAGGAAAATGTATCTTTAAAGAAAGTTCTCAACATTTTAGGGCAAGTTTTCACTTTGGCAGTATTGGAAACTTTTTACCATCTCAAGTTATACCCTCTGAAATATGATAAAACAGGGCAGAAAATTGCCAGGTTCATTGTGATTTTCATCCCTATTATTCATATACTGTATGTCATATGGAGGCATCTTTCCACCTTTTCAATCCAATCTAATTCATACTGGGCCTCATACTAGTCATCATTCATACTAGTCTTCATACTGGGCCTCAAAAACATCAGTGCCCCAATGAAAGAAACAGAACAGTGAGTCAAAAAATGTGGAATTTTAAAGACTTCCCCAGTTTTATCAAAAAGAAATCCAGTTGCATGGAGAGGAGAAGTAAACATATGCTTGATTTCCTTATCTGAATTTATAATCACCAAAGCAAAATGTAAACGAACTGTACCTCAAGTGGGAGATGCTTCCCAGGGATGGCAGCGATTCCCGTCATGAAATCCCTGGTGATGAAAGGGCGGAGGACGAGGGAGCGCTGGCAAGATGGGACGCGATACAAAGGGTCCCGGTCGAAGTGAACAGGGATTAGCACCACTGGCATCTGACTCACTGAATCATAGCAGTTGAACTTCCCCAGAATCTGGATTAAAGGGAAAAATGTGTGCTCAAGGATCATGGAAAAGTGAGTTTCATTTCTTCAAGGTCTCATGATGGATGATACCTGATGGGCGACATGATCTGCCTGGCGGAGGATAGCCAGGACGTTGTGAGTGAGGCAGGTTGGGGTGATATCATGGACTGGGTCCTTGGTCATGCCACCATGGATGTATGCCACTCGATTCACGTTGTGACAAATTCGGGGAATCAGTCGAGCCAAGAAAGAAAGTGCTTCCCAGTCTGGTTCCCCGTTCGTCGAGATTCCCACAACATAACTGTATGTCCGATGGTCTCCCTGATCGCAATACACAAAATGACATCAGAAATTTAATCGGAATTTCATCTCTCACCCTCATGCATTTCAGCATGAGATAATTGAATGTAGTGAAAGCAATAGAAGCAAACCTCTACCTATGGTGACTATTCCTCATCATAATGTATACCTTAACCTTTACACACCAAATGTTTCCACGAACAGCATGGAATCTTCCTTTCCACACCAAAAAAGGAAGATTCCAGAAACAGATTACATTCCACTTAACAGATTATGCCATAAAAGGAGGGCTTATAATCTGAGGAATGAAGAAATGAGCTCTTTTTAACCCCATCCATGAAATTTCAGGGAGCAGTTGCTACCTGGACTCCAACAGACTTGATGGGAAGTAGTGTAGCTGCCATCTGCCGAGAGGAAGAGATCTTGAGGAGAAGTTCGCGCTCGTCCTGAGACGTGGCATTGTCGATGCGGTTGAGGAGGGCGTGCTTCTTCACGAGACTCTGATGATAATCGACGATGATGCGAACGAGGACCTGCGTCTCCGAGAAGCCCTTGTCGATGAAGGGCTCTTGAGCACAGAGAACGCGAATGGCCAGGCCAGGTCCCGGGAACGGATGCCTCTGGACGATGGACGATGGTAGACCCAACGTTACTCCTATCTGCCTCACCTACGATGCCAGATGGAGAGCATCACCATCAAAATCATATCAAAATCAAAATCATCGAGAAAGACAAGAACACAGACATCAGAGTAAGAGTGACCATGATGCTACTGTAAGAGTACTAAAAATACCCTTCAGCTATGACCAAACTGAAGGTTCCTTATAAGCAATTCACCAAAGAATACGAGGTCTGTTCAAAAAGTATCCGGACTGGTGCGATTATGGACAGAATATGATTCTTACAGGGTTTGGGGCTTAATCTCCCTCAAAGTACGTTCCTTCTGAAGCGACACACTTTGCCAAACGATCTGCACTCTTTAAAACATATTTCGAAAGCACTTTTCGGGATGACCCAAAGCTGCTCCGTCGAATTTCTTTGAAAGGTCTCGACATCATCCTTTCAGGGTCTTTTTGAGCTTCGGAAACAAAAAAAAATGTCGCATGGAGCCAAATCCGGCGAGTATGGAGATTGCTGTACTTGGAGGGTATCGTTTTTGGCTAAAAATTGCTGGACAAGTTGGGAAGAGTGAAAGGGCGCGTTATCGTGATGAAGCATCCAGTCTCTGGAATCCCACTTCTGGGGCCGTTTCCTCCGAACTGCTCCACGTAGACGTTTCAAACTTCAATATAAAATTCCTTGTTGGTTGTTTGTCCCTGTGGAGCATACTCAAGGTGCACAACACCTTCACAGTCAATAAAGCCAGTAACATGACCCTAGTTTTACTGCGCACTTGTCGCGCTTTTTTTTGGTCGTGGGGACGAAGGACTCTTCACTCCGGTTCCGTCGCAAGCAGCAGTCGACAATCAAAAACGTGTGTACGGGCCATAGCATCATCACCACCTACTTTGAGTAAATCAAAATTTTCACTGGCCGTTTCCCCAATTTTAAAACAAAATGTAATACAAACACGTTGCTTGGTACCTTCCGACACCGTAAAAATCGCTGCGAGACAAAAAACCTTTATCTTTGTTGGCTCGACATGCAAAGACATGAGCACAGTCAAAACTCCGAGCGTGACCTTATTTTAAAAATAAACACCCAGTCCGGATACTTTTTGAACAGACCTTGTATATTAACAGTAATAAATATTTGGTTGTTCTTTTGGTTATATTCATACATGCAAATAATTGAATACTTAAAAACAGGCAGAAAAAAAGAAAATTCATCAGCATGAGCCTTGAGAGAGCAATTAAATATGATGATTTTGCCAAACTTTAAGTCAGTAACTTGCTGCAATAAATTTCATTTGGATGTGCCACTTAACACTTTTAAGCCAATTCTCTTCCCCCCATCATATACCACACTACAACCACTTTAGTGTTTCTCAAGATGATACTCAAATCAGCAATGTTGAGTGCCGAGTGCACAACATTGGCAAATTTAACAAGTTATCCAAGAATGACATCATCTGGCTGCTAGGAGCAGTGGTGTGCCCAAGAGAATTTGGAGGTCATAACCCCCCACTTGGGATACATTTTACAGAATATCGATTCTCAAAAATTTTTCAATTTAGCCATATATGCAGTACAGCATAGGTTACCAATTTTTCACATGTCAACCCACTCTCCCCATTGAGATTTTCTGGGCATGCTACTAGCTAGGAGATTAACTGGCTGACAAGGTAGCAGGTTCGGTCTTGCTTCCTTCATTCTATTTCCTTTTTCCAGGCCTTACTGTTCGTGATGGACAACACTTGCATGCAAGAGAAGCTTAGGACGCTTTCGAGTCTCCTTCACTTGTTCTTCAGGTGCACATAGGAACTCATCTGGGGCAAAATCAGAATCAGAAGACAATGTGGTTTGAATACAAAACTCTTCGAGTCCGAGGAACACTTGGCAGGTCTTGTATAGCACCTCACTGCAGTTTTTCATGCAATTATAGATGGACAACAAAAACTCCAGAACAACGAAGGAAGTGACACCTGTCACGAGAACGAGCCCGAATCGACCGATGGAACAAGCTAAGCAATGCAATGCAGGTGCCCCTATGTACATGCACCCAGCAGATTTATTCATGCGATAGGAGGCGCACGAAGTGCTAGAAATCAACTCAAATGCCCGTTTCTCGATCAGAGCCAAAGCCAGTCGTAAACTGACCGAGACGAACCCACGGGATGGGTTCCCACCTGAGCGCATCGAACCAAAAGTTCAACCGTTCAACGGCTGCCGCTCAAAGACTCGTTCGAATTCAAGAAAATCAAGAAAGCCAATTGGCCGACATCGCAAGCTGCCTCCTCAAGAAATGAGGCAAAAGTGCACGAGGTCCATAACCTCCTCGAGTACACTTCCCACGATAAAGACACCACGCTGGCACTTGAGGAAATTCGAGCTCAGGCAAAGGACAACTCTCGGATGATGCAGGAGATTCGACAAGCACTAGCAAAGTCAGCGGTGAATCTGATGCGTCCGGCACAGAAAAGCAGGGAGAGTCACCAGACAGCAAGAGGACGAAGAACATGTCCTATTCGTGGACGCCTTCATTTCAACACCCCTCCAAACTTCGGCGATGCCACACGAAAGTCTTCGATGATCGAGCAATTCCAATCCGGGATAGTTCGCACTCATTCACACGCTTTCTCTTTCGGCACAAACTCAATCGCAGCGCAAGAACGAGGGAACGAATTGGAGTCTCTCCCAGGCGAGAGGAGCGAGAAGCCCACGGACTCCCAATCCAAACCGGACGAACCCGAAAGAAACGTTCGGTTCGACCGGGAAAGAGAAAGGCCCGAATCCCCGTACAGAAGAGAGAGCGCCCCCCCAAGGCAGGGGCAGGACGTCTGGTTCCCCTGCACGTCCCGACCCTCACGAGCCTCGTCCTCTCGTCGACGCCCGAGAAACAGACGGCAGCGAAAGTACCCTTCGCGAGGAAGCGAAATCGTCGTGCGAAAAATGCCAACCGCAGCTCTCCTGTCGATACGTGAATTCACAGAGCCATCTCCAATCCTCCCGGCAGCACGAGACACGCATACAAAGGCATCTCGTGGAAAGCTGTCTGCAACCATTACCTCACTTCTAAATGGTATCAAAATTGTCATCTGAATCTTTACAATGCATACGTTGTAGGTAGTGATGAGAAGCGGTGGTTTAGTTACCAGTGTTATCCATTAAGTTTTTGCTGCTGCTTATCTGTATATTATGATCAAATTACCAGCCAGCGAACGAATGTCGCTTTTGTCCTGGTCGCCAGTATACATGGCACGAAAAGAGATTTCGCGATTCGATTGATTTCTCGCGATGGAAGCATACCGAGCGGGATTCTTCCTCCACCGTCCAAAACCATCAAGTCATCTTGCACGCGATTCCAGCACCGGTCCGAGGCTTCACCACTCCGCAGACGATACCGAGCTTCGTCTATTCAAACCGCCACAGAGCCATCACATCGTGATGAAAGCTCGTCGGTTCGATCGCCCTTCGCGTCACACCGAGGCGGAGGCGCACGCCGCCAAGTCCGCCGCTTCTGACAGGATCATTCAGAGCGTGAAACGTGTCACACTGGTTGGAAGCAATGCCTTCGCCGAGGCAGGCCGCCGCCCACGTCTCTGCATCGACGATGCCGGGCGTGTTCGGCTGCGAAACGCACTCGACCAACTGCATCCTGCGCCCAACGAACCAAACAAAGCGAGCGAAGCTCACTCTCGTACGTTCCGAGGACCCCCGTCACATTTAATACGATGTCGTGTCCGACACTCTCCCGAAACACGATGCATTCGGCCGAGGTACCGGTTTATTTCCTCGGTTCCGGTAAGACGATGGGAGATCTCGTTTCGACGTTTGCAAAATTCCTCCTTTCTTAAATCTTTCACTGCGAGAACTACCGTATAGGGTGGGGCGTCGCGGTCTCTCCAAAAAATTCCAGGTTGGTGTACCGTAACTCTATTTAGCGGTTTCTGTAACCGGCGAAGAGGGGAGGGGAGAAAAAAACGATTCCCCCCTCGCAAAAAAAAAAAAATCAGGGAAGCGAGAAGGCGGGAACGGTTCACCGATCGCTTCATTTCAACGATTTCGGCCGACCCCCCTCGCATCAAACGATTGAAGGGCGGCGGGGTCGGAAATTGCCCCTCCCCTCTCCCCCCTTGCCCCTTCCGGGGTGTCTCGGATCTCGCGGCCGATCGATCCGTACCTCCACATTTACATACACTCAACTCGTCCAAAATCGAGTTTCGAGTCAGCTCGAACCATTCAAAAATTCATTCCATGAGTCTCGATTCTGCGGATAATGGAATTTTCCTTTACGGGTAACTTACTTATAAAAAAGTTGAAGGTTAGGAGAAAAAGTTCTTACACGAGCGACCCCAAAGCCTCGAATCCTTTCAGAACCCCCAAAAGAGACACGAGTGCCCTTGAGAGTCCTTGTCCCCCCCCCCCCCCCAGGGGGAGCCACGCGTCCCCGCGTGTAACACTAGTAAGACGGGACCCCATCTGCGTATCGATCGAAAGGCGGGGAGGGGACCATCTTTGTATCGATCGAGAGCGCATAAAAAACCCTAAAAAATCCGGGAGAGGGAGTAAAAGCATTTAAGAGCTGCAGCACTCGAAGTCTCCCAGAGTCTTCTCTCCATCCATAGTATGCTGTGTCGTGGTTGCCTAAGAGCATCTCCGCGATGAATGAAACCTTTCGAAGCGGCATGAATCCAGCTCGGACGATCCATCGAATGAAGGAAGAGACACAGATATGAGCCTGTGAAAAAGTCCGATTTCGATCTCTGCTGCCTTTTTTCTTCGGATCGCGCAAAATTCCCTCCCTTTTCCGGTGGACGAAAAGACAGCCCCCGTTTCCTAAACACTTTCCGTGGCGGATATGATTTGCAGGCTTGGGTTGCTGCAGCCAGAGCACGATGAATCGACTCGCACCAGAACGACGGAACAGGCGACCGGCCGACTGCCAACAGTCAGCCGAGCGGCGGCATTGCCATATCGAGTTTGAAATGGACGGAAGGGCGAGACCCGTCATCGGCACACCACAGGGAAAAGAGCGATGCGGGTCTCACCGGTCAACGGGACGGAAAGGATTCATTCTTGTTCTGAAATGCCGGCAACGAGCCTTTGGACTTTCGTCCAAGAAAAAAAAAATTACGAATTTTGCTCCCTGCCGGTCATTAGGGGCACAAGTAAGCTCGTGGTAGAGTACCAGTACGTCGTGTCCCACTCTATCATCGATTACTATACAATGCAAGGTGCCTATATTAGGAATATTCAATACCGAAATGGAAGAGCATTCCAACTGACCTCATCTTTGTGAAAATCCCTGAGAGGTTCCACGACACGCCCGGCGAGCCGGAGCTGCCGCACGAGATCGCTATCGTTATGATGGGTTTTAATTGCATCGGCTGCATGACTGGCTATGTGGGAAGCTGACTCGATCAGGTCCGGCCTCAGAGTCCCCTGGCCCAGGTAAACTTCCTCTGGGTTCAGATTTAATTCTGCCATCGCATCGTTGGCGACCTGGAACAGAGAAGCCGATAAATCATTTCTGCGCAATAGCAATCGCTGTTTGAATGGTTTTCTTTTTCCAATTGAAATAAATCGTGGCTAAGGGGCAAAAGCGAAAAAGCAACTTGCAACACGGCACTAACCTCGACAAAGACGTCCCCGATGATCTTGCGCTTGTCCTCGGGATCACAGGTTCTGCATAAAGCTTGAGTGATTCGCCTTCTTGAATTGGGATCATCCAAGTCCAGTGGAACAGATGTCGTTGCATCGTAAAAGGTCTTCGATGCATTCACAACTGAAAAGGGGAGCGACTGGGTCACAGATCAAATCCTCTACTCCGGCTGGACGGTAACAGAACACGGTCGACCGTCTCACCCTTGACTTTGAGACCGAGGCTGGTCAGCGAGTCCAGAACCTGCTGACTTTCCCCCTTCCTCATGAAACCATTATCTATATGCAAGGCCATCACCTGCTCCGGCTTGAGGGCACGGGAGAGAAGAGCCGCACACACCGTAGAATCCACCCCTCCGCTCAGCATCATCTGCTCGGGATGAACAAAAGGATCGTTTGGTGAACACATGCAACATTTAGGATTCGGGATATTACGAGAATGTCTGGAAGAAAGGGCAGGAGCCATCACCCTGTGAATTCTTAAGCATAAAGGAACTCACGAGGACTTTGCGATTTTGAACCGCTTCCTTGATATAGGAGAGGCACTGGTGTTCTCTATTGGAAATTGTGTAGTTTGGAGTCACATTGGCCACACTCAGAAGGAAGTTCTTCATGATTTTAGCTCCATTTTCTGTCATATCAACCTGTACAATCCAATGCAAGAAAAGGATGACGACCATCTGCCATTAAGACAGTTGGATTGCAATTTTCTCATCGAGATTGAGAATGAATTGCTTGTAACCTCAGGATGGAATTGAAGTCCATAGAGGTGCAACTTGTCGTTGGCGATTCCCGATACGGCCGAAGCAGAAGACGAAATGATTCGGAAACCATCTGCTAGCTTGTCAACACTGTCGCCATGAGTGAGCAGAACATCCTGCTTCTTTTCAAGGTTTCTAAAGATAAAAGTATGGAGGGAAAGGGGTGGTGGTGATGATGAATTTCATGATCAGATAAGACATATTCAACAGCCAAAAACTTAAGGAAGACTCACTGAAACAGGACACAACGAGTGTCAACTTCAACTTCATATTGGCCATCTTCTCTGACTTCTGACTTGGTGACAGTTCCTCCAAATTCACGATTCATCACGTGCATGCCATAGCAAATCCCTGAAAAATAAATTTCATTAAAAATTCTGTCACGATGAGCATAGTTGTCAACTGTTACAGTGAAGAAATCAAGAGACAAACCCAAAACAGGGATGCCGATGCGAAATATATCCCCATCATACTGAGGAGCATCCTCAGAATATACAGATCCTGGTCCACCTGATATCAGGATGGCCCTGTGAATAGAAAGATCACACAGGTCAGAATCACTCAAATAATGCAAATGATGACATACATTTTTGCAATATAGGAAATTTTTATTATGTGGTTTCAACAGGCTCTGTAGTCTCTGCTTGCTCAATCTGTTTAGAGGATTTGATCATTCTAGTATTACAGCTACGAGTTACCACTTCGGGAAGTTGGTTTTTGAATTGAGGGTGATTCCATACTATCATGTCATCATGAAACAGGACATTAAGAACTGGCCTAAAATAGATTTAAGATTTGAAAATTTCCACCAGTACTCTAGAGGATCCCATGAGGGTATATGGAGATCAAAATGAGATTTTATTCTTAAATACCTTTGATCATGTTTTGGGTATTCTTAAACCCTCTTACTTACATCATGACATGATGATGTTTCAAATCAAGATACAATCCAATGAGACAGCAACATTAACTGCAGGTGTGCAATGACACCTCAAAACCTGATGGAGTGTACATATACACCACTTTTTGTGGATGATGGCACTGCTATTGCATTATGTTGCCAGATTCACTTACCTCAAACCAGTGACATCTGGCACAACCTCAAGACATTAAATAATGAAATTAGGTGAGAAAAAAATAAAATTTCAGCTGAAATCAACACTGATTACATTAATTGCCATAATCTTAACTAATAAATTTCATGAAATGATTTATTGAAATTGGGGCAATCAGGGCACTTAGCAAGAATTCAGCATAATCTCATCCTTTGCCTGAATATGGGATAAGAACAGAAAATTCACATCCAAGCTAAATTGGAACATTTGGCAACCCTACTGTCAAAACTGGTCTAGAGATGGGGTGGATTGAATAAAATTGACTTTAGCTTTATAATGGAGCTTTTAACCTAATTTAGCTGAGCTAAAGGAGGTTTAAAGCTCTTTATGCTAGTCACTTTTATGCAATCCACCCAGGACCATGGGTGGACTCTTCTCTCCTCCCTTCCTCTTATTCCAGAGACAATACTGACTTACGCTTTCAGAGAGGTCATCAATCAACCAGCTTCCCTTGAACCTCAGCTTAGCTTACAGATCTGTAATGTAAAATTTGAGGATACAAATGTGTGAGGTTTATAACCCAAAGTGAAGTCCAAATCCAAAACTGGGACTTTTCTAAGGGGTTCCTGAATACTCATGACATGGCTACTTACTTCTATTTGATTTTTTTAAACTTGAAACCATACCATATTCTATTGGTTGCATTTATGAAGTTTGGCTGGAACAACACATTGAACAGGAGTCGAGTTGAGAGATCATGAAAAGGCTCAAGGAATGTTTTCCAAAGATTAGCTGCTTGATTCAGCTAAGAACTTTCTCAGAAAATAAAAAAGTATTTCAGAATCTGAAATAGACAATCTGGAACACCACCTGTCAAGATGGAATTTAAGTTAGCACCATTCAGCAACAATGTCATACAGTCAATATCCTGAATCCTTGTGCCAATTGAAAGGCTGTCAAAGTAAAAGGGGAATGAGATTTATAAGTGACACTGTCATGGTGACAAATGAGAGCAATAATATTGACAATGGGGAATTTTTGCAGGGGGGGGGGGGGCAAAGCCTTCTCAACTCAACCACTTTCCTTTTCAGGACCTCCCCTCCATAAAATATGGAATCTCTTAATCATCAGTTGACGAGTGCTAATCATAGTAGTCCTCTGGGACAGCATACAATGCTGCTGCAAAAGGATTCAGGATATAGACTATATATAACCTTTATGGATCAGTTACACTTTTGCTGCTCTCTTTTGCTTTGTTGATGGGGTGAACAGCCTTATCCCACAGCTCATATAAAGTAGATTTCCAGAAAAACAGTACTCATCAAAAGCTGAAACTACTAAAAAATATATATACCATATTTTTAGATGAAAGTCTTCACAAAAAACAACTCACTTATAGCCCTTTTCCATTATGGTGTATGCAGGTGTATCAAGAGGTAGGATCTCACTTTCCACTTGCAACTCACGGACACGTCTATCAATGACTTTTCCATACTGTGAACCGGCATCTAATATCACCACTTTTTCATATGAATCAACTCCATTCACTTGGATGTCACCTGTTGAAGCCTGCATTTCATCTCAAACTTGCACAAGTCTGCTGCACTTGTTCACTCCTCTCCCATTCTGATGTGGGAAGGAAGAACTAGGATTGAGCATCACAGAGAATAGTAACAAAGGATAACATAGTAGAGGCTAAATGAAAATACTTAGTGATATCTAAGTTTACAAGAAAAAGGAAGCCACAGAGCAGGAGAAAGAAATTCATGCACTCTAGCTCAAATCTGTATTAAGGAATGAAGCACAGGTGTAGAAACTATAAGGACGAGAACCACAATCAGGGATGCAGAATGATAAATGTTGTCAGTGTTTATTTATATACTTAATCTTTTGAAAGTGCATGTTGAGTCAGCACAACCCCATCCATTTTTCATAGTAATAAGTCTATTTTGGAACTAGGTATGATACACAGAAGAGAAAGCTGTCTAAAAATTTAGTTTCGATCATAGGTAGAAATATGTTAGGGAAAAGAGGAAACAATTGCTTCTGCCTCCCCTGGCCCTCATAAAAAAATGTGTTGTTTGGAGAATAGAGACCAAAAATATAGGGCCACCAACAAAGCTCCAGATTATGACTTTCATAGTTCTGAGGTCAGTACTAGAACAATGAGTTAGAATAAGTTCAAAGCCCTAAAATTGGGTTGAAAAGTATGTATTTCTATACTTGGAAGAAATGAGTTGAAATAGAAGAGCCTTGAATTTGAATTTGATATAAAAATGTACATATCTTCTACATCAGGAAATATATGAAATGTTGACAAACTCATGAATTGGATGTTATGACTTCAAGTCTTGTTCACATGTTGGCAAAACTTCAGTATGTCAAAGTCTGATTGGAGGACAAACAAGATGAGATAAGGTTAGATCTATCCTATGTTATCAGCCACTATATAAACTTCATGAAAGTTTTACTGTGGGACTGGAGATTTTTCAAATTGAATTATACTAAGAGTTTACTTAATTGATCAAAGTGACAACTTACATCTCAGCAATCCTTTCAATGTTGAATCTGGTGTACCCCAGGGTTCCCACATAGTGCGCAATACACATTTTTTGCAGGTGACTGCAGATTGCGTGTGTGTGGAGTGTGACCAACTTGGATGAAATCCCTGCAGCAATGAACCATTATAATAAACCCATTAATTTATGGTCTATGAACAATAGTCTGAGAAAACCACTGCAAGGATCTTACTAGATTCAGCCTAAACTTAAAATTATCCCAAATCACAAAATAGATTGTTTTGGGCTGTATGCATACACTGGATTTTGGGAGTCTCTGGTTTAAAGGATGTGCCAAAAGGTGAATGTATAGTGTCAACTGCCTCAAAATTTACCAACTGGAGTAGAATAGTTCAGAACAATGGTTAGCTTATCTGATCCTGAGGTGCAATGTGTGGAAAAAAGAAGTGTCCATGGAGGGGGTGGATCTTGAGAGGGCAAGATTGGGTGACATTCTTTGCAAGGCAAGATAGTGTGATATGGCCAAATTGCCAGTTGGGTACATCAGTTATTATTTCAATCCTTTGGTCATGAATGGATCACCTCTCTATTGATATATGTCCCATGGGAGTGCATTCACATAGAAGCAGTCACAGTTGTTGTGGAGATAATATGGTACAGCTCATGCATACACAAAGAGCTGAAGGCAAAATAAGAGCAGAAAAATAGTTTTTTTGGCCACCAACTATGGTAGCCAGTGTTCGTCTGTACAGGTAGGTGTCCACCAGACTGATGAAGACCCTAGATGTGCAATGCATACCTTTTTAAATTGTTATATAGGAAAACAATTTTTTTTTATAGTCTCACCTTTTATAGTTTTGCCTTTTACAAGTCACTCTCTTGCTTCTGATCATGTCTTACCTTTAAATTTCACCCTTTCTCATAATATAGGTCTTTAACATCAAATGGGAGGCATATTCTCAATGCTAGGTCGTGTAAAAATAATATCTTAAAATCATCACCAAATGAACACATAATATAAACATCAATTAGACCTTCGCCTTCGATAAAATAGTCAGCACTGGCTCAATTAGAATCGCGGAAACTGTAGCATAGAGAGAAATTAACGTAGTAAGTAAACCAAATTAAGCCTATCCTAAGAAATAAATAGTGGGTCGAAGTACTTATGAAACTAAACAACTTCCTGAGATTCATACCAGCTGTGGCGGGGAATCTGGTGACATAAGTTATCAATACGAGTAAAGCTTCGCTGTGTCACTAAGGAATTCGTTGTTGCACGGGGAGGTTCCAATCTGAAAAAGCACTTCTTAACTTAAAGCGGGTTAGGAGAAATGCAGCCCAAACGCTACTAGCCCAGACTTACACTTAAGTTCACGGAGACCACTAGGCCTACGCTAGCACGTCAAAGAGGATGGTCTGGACTACATATCCGCTGCTCGTGATTTTGGCCAATCTGACACCGGTGGCTGGAGCCATCTTTCTGAAAAGGGCACAGTGTAGGACCAATCTCTGCTAGTGGGATAGCCAACAGTTTCTGGGGAATTCCGACCCCCAAATCAAGTGAAAAATACACGTATTTGCATATAAGAAGTTAAATTTTCTCATAATATGCAGATATGAAGGAACTGGACAAGAAATCTGCTATTCTTTACTTTACAATGAAGCGAAACAAGGCGTCGAAAGGGTGGGAATATGGCAGCCGCCAGGGCTCCACGTGATAGCTAACCCAACTAGACTAGACCGAGTCATTACGATGGCCTGACGTTTACCTCGAACTTGAAGAATGTTGTCCTCACTCATCAAAGAACACCAGCTCAAGCAGCAAACAAGGAAAGAAGAACAAGGTAGGTTAAAGTTAATCCTTTACCCACCTTTTTCTCGACAGACTCCATGGATTTCGTAAAAGCTCTTCGTACATGATTGAACTTAGCAATGCTGTGCACGAATGGGCTAACGCTCTTGACATTGGTCATTCGACCAACATCATAGCCTTTGCTTTGTTTTATTTTGTTGAAGCACTTTTCTTGTGAAAACACATTTCTTCACAAGAAATTATCACCAAACCCAGATTTGTTTATTTGCTGACAATTATCAGAGGAGATAATAGTCAAGATAATTACAGAATGCAGCACCTACTGTATCTTTTATCACAGAAATTGATTAGTCAGCTCTAACTGTAAATGCAAAGTTCAGTGCCTTCACCTTTGTAATTTTTTGGAAATTGAACTCACTTTCTCACTTCCCCTGGCACTTGTCATTGGTGCTTGGAAGACACCTAGTGATTGCAGTCATCATTAGCAATAGGAATGTAATGATGAGTCAAATCCATAAAGTGACTTCCATCTCTGAAGGAGGAACTGTGACCTCATGACTTTGCTGTGGAACACATAAAAAAATAGGGAGTTAATGTAAATGAGAATCCTCCACAAATTTTAAATGATGGCTTGTGAACAAAACTTTTACTGATGAATGGTCAGTAGCCATGCAAACCCAACATATAAGTATCATACTTTTGAAATATTTAAATGAGAGTTGATTTTGGTTAAAGGACTTGTTCCAAGTAATTTGCTGGACTTATAAATACCTGTTACTATGTTTTCCTTTACAGAGCGGAGAAGAAAGGATGCTATAGCTGCTGCAGGTGTTCTGACCCAAGCATTAGTAGATCACCTCAACGTTGGGTTAGTTCATATTCTTGGATATCCTGGGATTTTATTATTGCAAAGCTCAGATCTTGTTCCAATGCATTTGGAACAAGATCTTTTATCCCTTGTGGTGCTTATCAGTGAAGGAAAAGAGAAAGGATAAAATTGATCGAGATATCATTATCCTAAGGGCAAGATAGCACCTGTGATGACTCCATGCTCTCTGGTGCTTTATCCCTTTGAGAAGTGAGTTTTCCTTGCACTCCAAGGAGGTTTTGATGAAATTTTTTTGGAGTTCCCCCAACAACACATATCTAGAACGTTTATGATCATCACATGGAAGGTAATAGTTGATTGTATTGTGTGAAAAGGAAATAACTAGTGAACTCTAAAAGGGTAATTTACACAAAACTTGGTCAAAATTTTGTAAACATTTTGAAACCATATCTATTTATGGGCATACTCATCAAAGGGTTAAGAATATTTTTAAATTAGTTGTCAAAGAGACTAATAATTCTGAGCTGCTGTTTCTATATTACCATATGGCTATTTTTTCATCTTCTAACTAAACACTCTGGAAACTAAATATAATTTAAAGTCTATTCAATTCTCTTATTGATCAATGAATAGCCTGACATGTTGAACATGAGAACTGGAATTGTGATCACATTACAAGACAAAAATTATAGTCTTTATTATGTGATGTTTAGTGGTTGAAATATAGTAAAGCTCAGTCAGGGAGTAGTTGTTGCTATTGGAACATCCAACCTTGGTTGCCCTTCCTTGATAATATAAACCATAACATTTAGTGGTCCCTGTGCACTGACTTAGTTTTAGTTTTTGTCCCCTTCAAAAGATATATGACTGATTTGATTGTTGCACATTTTCAGTGACTTGATGAAAGTAGATGATATATAAAGTATCTGAGTGAAAAATCAGCTTGTTATCAGAACAGGGGAAGATAATACACGGACATCTCGTAGGTTATTTTATGTTCCTGTTTCCTAGTTAATTACCATTTTGAATTATTGTGTTTCAGGGTAGCACAGGCTTACTTGAATCAAAGAAAGTTGGATGTGGAGGCAAAGCAACTGAATCAGCATGCTGCAACATTTGCCAAACAGACTCAGCTTTGGCTTCAGATGGTGGAGACCTTCAGCACTGCTCTCAAGGAGCTTGGAGATGTGGAGAACTGGGCCAAGTCAATTGAGGGTGATATGAGGAGTATTTCTCAAGCTCTTGAGTACTCTTACAAAGGTATGACATTTTTTTAAAATCCAGCTCAGAGTTTGATATATATGAATGGCTGGAGACAAATGCATAGCAAAATATCAAAGGAGAATGCTTTCATAGAAAAGAGTAAAGTCCAGCTGCCAAACTTTCAGCAACAAAGGCCTTTATTGCGACATGCCTTAGTGTGTTTTGATGAAGGCTTTTGTGGAGCAAAGAGTTGAGCTCTGAGAAGTCAAACTGCTGAGCGGTTTGACTTCTCAAATGAAGTGGCATGATACATGCAGAAAATGAACCAGATCTGATTATGAATCCATGCATTAATGGTGAAATTGTCAATATTTTGTCTTATTATTTTGGTCTATACTATAGAGATCACTGTCTCTACCTTACCAATATTGTTGAAGGAAGCACTGAGGAATAATAAATAATTAATAAGATTAGGCCAAAGTAAGGACTTAAAAATAGTGCAGTCTACTTTTACTACTATTTTCAAATGGAAATATAGTACTTTGGTGATGGGCTTTATTCAAGCATTCTTGCAATTTCATGTCCTCTACCTCTGAGACTCGATTCTGTGATTCGAGTTAAAACTCGAATGTTTTCCTTAAGCTGAAGTGGCAGCATAGACTATTATGATTTATTAGTATTTGCAGATATCTTGCTCAGACTAGACCAGCTCTGACAGTGCTGTAGCCCCTATTCATTCACAGTTATGGATAGTGTAGGCTTAATGGAATGACCTCTGGGGAGAACATTTTGTTTGGATTCAAATGCTCTTTCAAATATGGGGAAGGTCTTCATGCAACTGCCTAAACCATCATTTAGTGAAGGTGGGGCATGAAAGTACTACTGCCAAGAGAAAACAAGGGTTGTTCAATAGTATAGTCTTTGTTAAGCCTCACTTTGTGGCACTACAAGTTCTCTTTCCCCAAGGGAATGACTATCTCATTGATATAGCATATCATCGTGCATGTCACCTACATGTAGAATCAACAGGCAAACCTTAGTGCATTCTGTTTTTCCTTCATTTAGTATGAAGTCCTGGACTGATTGTTCTCTCACTTCATTAGAATTTACTAAAAGGCAAGGGGAATTTACCTGCAAGAGCAAATGTCTGTGTATTGCAGGAGGATATCATATTAGATTCTCCCTTCTTTTTGATGCCCAAGTGAAAATAACAAATTTTCTCCCCTTTTCAGTTACAGGAGGAGGAACCAAAGAAGGGACCTAATTGGCAACATCATGATCTCGTGTCTGGGTGGAGTGCATGTGTGAGAGATTGAAATATATACCTATAATAAAAGCACTGTTTTATGTATCCTAAAGGTGCTTCATTCTTCTTTCCTCAAACATGGTGAAATCCCAGCCAACAATGACTTTCACCTGCCCTAAGCCTAAAACCAAGAGGACCACACATAGACTTAACCTTCTCAAAATTATGTGCTAGCTGGTTGAAAGTATATGCCCTGTGGCCTTGCACTACTTGTGAGACATGCTACACCCTAGTTTGATGCTTCCACGACCTTACTTGCTTGGTGAGTTGCATCCCTAGATTTGGGTAGGATTTATGACACTCATCATTAGTGATAATACCATACAGGAGGATTCCCTCCAACTCTGCCATTAGAGGGGCTTGGCAGCAGAGGATCGAGAACCTTTCCTTTACCCTTGGACATTGGGCTTCCATTGCCAACACCTCCCCTGCTTCCAACTCCACCCATGTTCATACCTTCCATGATCCCACCTTCCCTGTTTCCCAATCCATACTCCATCCCTGCCTACGGGATGATGCCCCTCGGCCGAAGGAATCGAGTGAGTGGTGGCTGCACCAAGGAATTGTTCACCATGGCATCAGCTCCTTTACCCTGTCTCATACCTGAGGGCATGAACCCAGATGTTCCACCCTTTGAGGGGGTATCAGGAGTACCTCCTCCAATCCATCCACCACCAGGCACATATTTTGATGTTCACATCCCGTTTGCCCTCAATCCGTCAAATTTTGTGGTGAGCCTGTGCAACTTACCATTGCACTGCTCTCTGTGTCTTGAAGCACGAATTGCTGATTTTAGGGTCTCATGTTGGAAAACACAGGTGCAGTCTTGGCTTGGAGGGAAGGACTTGGAAGATCTCATGGAGAAAATGAATAGTTTCTATGAAGGTCCACCACTGTCTAGTCCACTTTTGCCAGAGACAATCAGAGAAGGAGAATGCTACGCTGCCCTTTATTTTGATCGCATTTGGTATCGCATTATTGTCAGCAAGTGCATGGGGAATGATACATTCTTTGCTCACTTCCTGGACTTTGGCAACAATGATTTTTTCTGCTCGGGGTCCCTGCGACCCTTGGCTGCCGAGTTCAGGAAGCTTCCGGCTCAAGCCATCAAAGCCTGCCTTGCCGGTTTGTAACTGAAAATTTCTCAACGGGTGTGTGACGCGAAAAAGTCGTCAAGAATTTCATGCCGATCGTTCACAGGTATAGCACCAGTGTCCGGAGATGGATGGAGGGACGAAGATATCCTTGTGTTCAGAGAAATGGTGTTCGAGAAACAATTCGTATCGGTCGTTCCCGAAGGATCGTTGCCTTCGAAAGACGACGACAGACTTCCCTTGACCCTGATCGACACCAGCCTCCCGGATCGTGACGTCTTCGTCGACCAGGCCCTCGTGGAGAAAGGAAACGCCTCGCGACGCCTCCAACTCCCTTCGAGCCTCACAGACCCAAAGCCCGATCCCGACCCCCCTGTTTCCCCACTCGAGTCCGATGACAGCCACGAGTCGCTCTGAACATCGCAGGACGCCACACTCGATTCCCATAGGTTCATGGTCCTTAAGTTTTCTCCGCTCTGCCGAGCCCAGGTTTGTACAAGGCTTAAACCAGAAAATTCTGGAATCCAAATTCTTGCCAACTTAACCAACTCGGAGGAAGAAACAGGATATAAAATGACTCCGATACGACAGTGAAGGCATTAGAAAGTTCAAGCCGCTACCTGTCGTGTCTGCTCTCAGATTTCTCACATGACATTGCAGCTTTTCGCTTCGGGTCTGCCCTGCAGTTTTGAATAAATGCTTGTTCGACATCTTTACAACAAATTTGTATTTTATGCAAACACGAGGCAGGAGCAAGGTCGGACGTAACACCAGCATTAAATATGCATACATTTTAAAACCCCCAAGTGAAGTTAACGCCTCCAGGCAGCTTCCCAGTTGACCACAGTCCTTGCATTTGAAGACGACGAGACGATCGACAACCTTCGTTCCCCACGTTAATCGATTCTTTTTTTTTTTTTTACAAAAATCTCATGTTCCATTCCCTGTCTTCACTAAATGGTGTCGACCTGTCGGCAGGGCCGTATCTAGGATTTCATTTCGGGGGGGGTTGAGGTCTGGGGTATGGGTTGTGGCAATTTTTTTTATACTTGTCATTGGAAGTCTTTGTGATATATCTGGATTTTCCTGTAAGCTGCAGTGTTTAATAAGTCATAAGCTGTAAAAGATAGAAAAGACCAAGTACTGCACCGTTTACACCAACGAATAGCAGTATGGCAAAATTTTAAGGAAGATATTTCGGGCTGGGGATTCAGGAAAGAGTAACTGAGAAACACCGTCTCCGTGGAATAAATCCTGGACAACAGCCAGACGCTTAAAAAATGTCAATTTCGAATATGTGCTTGATACGGGCAAGATGCATTCATGAAGCAGCAGTGCTAGCTGGTTCTTTTCCTGTGCTTCCAATTTTCTTTGTCGTCTTGATGCTTTGGAGGCCANGGGGGGGGGGGGGGGGGGGGGGGGGGGGGGGGGGGTTTGACCACCATGAACCCCCCCCCCCCTAAATACGGCCTTGCCTGTCGTCCATTTCCCCCAACATAGTGCTCCATCGAACCGTCAGACCGCCCCATCATGAAGCGAAGGCTCGAGCTCAACCCACCCCGACCCCCTTCCACGACCTGCAACTCGATCCCATGCAGGAGTCGTTTCCCATCGGGTGAGATCCGCGCTTTCTCGCTTCCCTCTGCCCCTGTAAATTTCATGCTTTCGCAGAGAAAGGCCGTGCACTCCCGAGGGTCCCCCGCTGGCTTCGTTTCCCACAACCCGGACTCATCGACTGCTTCATTCCACTTTCTCCCTGACCTACCGCCTCTCATTCCTTCCGATTAGAAGAAAGACGTGTTTCCAATGTCGGGCGGGAGCGAAGTAAAAGTAACGCGTTACGGTAACTATTAACATTTAGACTTTACTGTATGTTCAGGGGTAACGAATTACGTTGCAAGGAGCAACGAAAACAGTAATTCCTTTTCGAAGGAAAATTTCCGTGGCGTATCTGTAACGCATTACTTTCTTGATGACGCACAAGCGACCAGGCATTAAAAATCAATCACGAAGCCGAGAACGCAGTCGATCCAATGCGACAACACCCCAACCAGGCGCTGCCGAGAGGCAATTCAGCGGGAACGTTTTCACGAATGATGCAGAACTCTTAGGAGTACTTGTGCCTCTCGTCCCCGAGAGTATCTCGAAGGGGGGGGGGGGTGTATTCTCTTCGCGATGCAATGCGGAACCAGGATGAATATAATACAAAGTTCCTTGGAACACCGTCGGAATGAAGATCTAACCAGTTTCCATGGGCGAGAAGGACTTGGAATCGCGACTAATTGCTTTCCAAACGGAACGCGACAGACGTGGCATGCTTCCATAGCCTTCCCAGACGCTAAGAAGGTCGAGATTCTCTTTTGAATCGAAGGGGCCGCGACCTTTATTGGCTTCGAAGTGATTCCAACCTCCACCCGAGCGAGACGGATCTTCGGAGATGAGAGGCAGAGAGAGAGAGAGAGAGGGCAGTGATAGAGGGCTCAGCGTCTCACACCCCTCAAAAAATTTTTTGGATTCATTCGTCTTTTTTGACGGGGAAAGGGCCGGGGGTGCCATAGAACGTCAATGGCCTCCAAAGCATCAAGACGACAAAGAAAATTGGAAGCACAGGAAAAGAACCAGCTAGCACTGCTGCTTCATGAATGCATCTTGCCCGTATCAAGCACATATTCGAAATTGACATTTTTTAAGCGTCTGGCTGTTGTCCAGGATTTATTCCACGGAGACGGTGTTTCTCAGTTACTCTTTCCTGAATCCCCAGCCCGAAAAAAAGAAATAGTTTGGAGTGTCTCCTGATAACCGGATAGCGGGAATATCAAAAGGCGAGGTGGACATTCTTTCCGTGACAAATCAAGATCTCTACGGGACAAGCTATGCATATTTATTATATGCTGCATGTACAGAGTGTTCCTAAATTATCTCTCCTATTTTGAACGCAAATATCTGCTCAGTTAGTGGCTCTCAGCACGTCAAACCGATACTTCAATTTCAGTCCGCGTTCGCTGCAATATGTCCACAGTCACACTGCGATGGCGTCCGATATCCTGGTCTTGTTCCGCGATTCCACACGCTGCAGCGAACGCGGTCTGAAATCGAAGTATCGGTTGGACGTGCTGAGAGCCATTAACGGAGCAGACGTGGAAGTCTACTGACATGTCAATGAAAACTTTTTGGGTCAGGCTACAAGATGGTGCAAATTGCATTTTTGCATGCCTATTAGTTTTTTTTTTTAATTTGCGTTCAAAATAGGAGAGATAACTTATGAACACCCTGTACTTGATCGCTGAGGCGATTTGATGGGCCCACTCATGCATGCACATGATCGAACTAAACGGGCTCTATTCCGTGATGCCCGACCCTATTCCCATGCGACTATTATAAGACGGAAGAGAAAAAAAAAGAGCGCTGACCTGAGTGAGAACTGCATGTGCATGCTGAGCAGCCTAATTTCGTGTGAATCCGCCGCGGCGCCCTCCGGCAACTCTCAAGGGATCGGGGCGACAGGCCGCCGCAGCAGGCGATGAGTAGCAGACGACAAGGCGACAAGATGGCGGCGCCCAGGATAGGGTGAGAGAGAGGGGCATGACGGCGTTCACGTGGTGCTGGAAGGTCTGAACTGTCGCTGAACGGTTGAAGAAATGAAGGTGAAAGTCCTTACTCGGAATCCGGACAACTACTTGCGAGAGACGAAGAAGGATATATTCAAAGGTAGGCCTAGCTTCAAGGCACGAGGCCAAAGGCTGTTAGATTTCCTATTTGGTTGAGGCAAGACTAATTTATAAACTTCTTTTATGATCATGGTGGATCTATCTTTTGGTATCCTTTATGCTAAGCATAAACACAGGCTTGCATGATGCTCTTTCATCTCACATTGAGAAATCAATATTGTATGTCCCTTTTTTTTTACATTATAGTGGAGAGAAATTATGACTCCTACCTGCATCCGTTTGAAGCACCTCGTGAATATACGAGAGCCTTGAATTCAGCGAAGTTGGATAGGGTCTTTGCAAAGCCTTTCCTGGGAAGTCTGGATGGTCACACCGATGGAGTTGCATGTCTTGCAAAGCATCCCAAGACTCTCTCTCACATCTATTCTGGATCGATGGATGGAGAGGTGAGAGAAATATTTTCAGGATTTGATTATTGCTTTGTCTTTTCTTCTCTTCACATGACAAATGCAAGAACTGTGATTTCAAGGAAGTATTATAGTTACTAATATAGTTGAGCCTTTGGCCATATCTGTGCACTAACAGATCCTACGTTTTGGGCCAGAATAAAGTCAGTACTGCAGATATCCTAACTGAAATGTTTTTCTCAGAGGGAGAAATCATAGATTGTTCAATTGACTTGAATCTTTTTTCTTGTGATTCCACTTTATGATATGTATCAATGATAGGTCTTGCCATTTGATTATTGCAGATACGAGGATGGAACTTGAGTGAGCGAAAATGTGCGATGAAAGTGCAGGCCCATAAAGGTTATGTGAGAGGCTTGTGCTTCACCCCAGATGGACAGAACTTCCTATCAGTAGGAGATGATAAGACCATCAATCGATGGAAGTGCTTCCATGCAGATTCTGAAGACTCTGTTCCCACCCAGTCCATTCTCAGCAAGGTAACAGATTAGGATCCAACAGTGCATTGCAACTTTCACATGTTTTTTTTCTGTTGGGCTTTATTTAGCATAAGTCTCCTGCTTCTTTTCTCCTTAGAGCATTTTGATGAGCATAGCCCATCATAGAACAGATCCAATGTTTGCCACCTGTGGTGAAGTGTGCCAAATATGGGAGGAGACACGATCTGAGCCTCTGAAGAGCTTCCAGTGGGGAGTGGACTCTCAGCATTGTGTCAGATTCAATCCTGTCGAAAACCACCTTCTGGGTAATTTGTTGGTTTCTCTTCTGTTGAATTTCATTTAACTTACTTGGTGCTAATAATATGGTGGTCATTCCTCTTCTAGCATCATGTGCAAGTGATAGAAGCATAATCTTGTATGACACACGAGGTGCCAGCCCCCTGAGAAGGGTCATTCTGCAACTCAAATCAAACAGTATTGCTTGGAATCCTATGGAGGCATTTATCTTCACTGTTGCGAATGAAGACTATAAGTGAGTCACAACATATATCAGTATAGGCTGTTGAGGCAACATAAGAAATGCATTGAGTGTTTGGTGGTTTTCAGCCTCTACACGTTTGATATGAGAAACCTGAGCCGCCCTCTGAACGTGCACATGGATCATGTCTCAGCTGTTATCGACTTAGACTTTGCCCCAACGGGAAAAGAGTTTGTGAGTGGCAGTTATGACAAGACCATCCGCATCTTCCCTATCGAAAAGGTACCTGCAAGTTTAACTATAGTGAATCTGTGGTGTGTTCTTTGCTGATGCAGCTTCTCTCCCAACTTTTTAGGGGAGGTCAAGAGATGTGTATCACACAAAACGGATGCAGAGGCTGACTTGTGTGTCTTGGTCATTGGACAACAAGTACATCCTCTGTGGGTCTGACGAAATGAACATCCGACTCTGGAAAGCAAGAGCCTCTGAAAAATTGGGCTTGGTGAGTCTGTGTCCTTAAACTGAATAGAAGAGTCTATTTCAGCCTTGCATGATGTTTTCGTTTCTACAGTTGAGTGGTAGAGAGAAGAATGCATTGAATTATGAGGCGAGGTTGAAGGAGAAGTTTGGATCCCATCCACAAGTGAAGCGGATCCTTCGCCATCGACACGTCCCCAAGCACATCTACAATGGCCAGCAGGAACTGCAGATCATCAAGCAGTCACGAAAACGCAGGTACATCATCCTTCTGATCCTTGTCCCATGTGGCTGAACTGCAGATGGGATGCAATTATTGTTTTCTCTCATAGGGAGGCCAACCGCCGTGCACATTCCAAACCTGGCTCCGTACCGCACGTGCCAGAGAAAGCCAAGGCAGTACTCTCAGAGCAGTCCTGATGACCAGACGTGTTTTGCCATGCTGGCCAAAGCCCTCCATGGCACAAAAGTTCATCCTCTCTGTATGGTGTTTAATAAAGCCAGAAATTGGTTTCTTATGTCAATTTATTTGCATTATTAGGAAAGTAGAAACTGACTAGAGCTGGGGAATTTTTTAGTTATATGGCACCAACTCAGCCAATACAGGACCTAATGGATCCATATCAGTGGCATGCCCAAGGGGGGGTTTTGGGGGTCATAACCCCTCCCTTGGGGTCAATTTTACAGGTTCGATTCTCACAAATTTTTTAATTTGGCCACAAATACTTGGTGAGTTATCAGTTTTTTCATGTTAACACCCCCCCCCCCCCTTTCGGATTTCCTGGGCACGCCACTGATCCATATACCCGAAGGGTACCATTGCCTGGTTATAGGATTGATCAAGATGGCAAAATCTCTTAGAAACCATTGGATGGGGATCGGGCATTCCCAACATACACCGAAGACGTTAAGTACAGAGGATGTCGAGCCGCATTCGGAGAAGCATATCCATTATCAGGAGAAACCACTGCTTCATCGCGTCTATTTTGAGAAATGATACGTTATCTGGCAGTCATTCTCATGCCTTCCTTATCCACCTGGGAAAATAATGCGGGTCGGTTCGCAGTACCGATGTAATTTCTCGCCGAAAGGGAATTCAAAACAAAGAAGCGAAGGATGGGTTTTCGGGTGGGCTGTATAATTTATATTCTCCAAGTGGGCAGATGCAGATGGAGGCATGGTATGAGATGTGTGACGAGCAGCATTCCGTATAAGGACGAGGACGGACCACGTCATTTCCCCCCATGACCATGTCTGGCTGATACTCCCTCGAGCCAAGGTCGGATCTCGCTCTGCCTCGATGACCGACGAAAAGTATCCCTTCTAGTTCTGCGTCGGTTCCGTTCGAATTCCCACGTATGAAAAATGGTTGGGAGCATGAAGGAGAAGGGCGATGTGGCACGCGTCGTTAAGTGTGCGGACCTCGTCCTCGTGGGAAAGAAGCGTTGAGGAGACGAGGTTGGGGAAAAAAAGGTAACTGTAACAGAGGCCAATAGAGGCGTCTTCGGGTATCGCATCGTTAGTATTGATTTCTTTCGTCTGCGCAACTAGGCTTGGACTTCAGATGCCATAAAGAGGCGGGTTGACTTGACAAGCACGATAGTAGTTCAAGTGGTTGAGATATAATCGAAGGTTACATCTCAATCACGTAAGGAGAGGCCGTAAAGAATTCCGGCGAAGCTCTCTATCCCTATATCTACGTTTAGTTCCATCTGGTGTGGTCATTTCGCTCGAGTTCTGTCCTAAGCCACCAGACGTAAGGCAAGATAGGAGCTAGTTCCACTTTCACACGAAGGTTCTCAATCGGATTCGCACCATCTTTATGACGGGCTCCCTAGGCCTAACTTCATTTCTTGCATGGGAGACATCCCTTCACCTCATCATGTGTACCTTATAGATAGCATGTGCTTTGTTATAGTTGTCACGTATGCACCTAAGATTCACAGTGAGCCTATGAATAAGCCTGTAAGTGGGTTCAATGGCTAGAAATTAAGGACCTTAAAAGCTAACATGCTTACGCCAAGTATTCCTTCTTCCTCTAATCCTGTTTCCCATTCGACTACTGATAGACTAGGCCCAATGTTTGACGATGAACAAATTATATAAATTTTCCCGTCAATCTAGTGGGCTAGTCGCTTGCCTAATGCGCCTAACGAATCTAGGATTCATGCTTTTAGGAGTAGGCCCTAACTTTTGTGACTTTGGTAGGTCGTTATTTAGGATATACTTTAAATGGTTCTTAATGTGTATGCATTTGCTTGGTTCTATTTTGCATCAGATGCCCATTTGCAGTATGACCAGTGATACTCAAGCTTTTTGAGCAGAAGGCCACTTTTGGAAGTGATCAACCTTATGTGGCCTGCTCTAAAATAAAATAGTTCATCCACAGGTTGTCCATCAGAAAAGGCAGGATTTCAAATGGTCCAACTGGATACCTACATCCTTGATTTCTAAATGTTTGTTCATTCTAGTCTGAAGTTTTAGGGAATCTCCATGAGCTAGCCAAAATCATTAATGCACTTTTGGAATGCTACAATTGGAATCTTACATTGTGCCTGAAATAGTTAAAACTGCTGGTTACTCTGATTCTACAGTTTTACCATGCAGACATGGCAAAACGCATGCTCAAGTGATATTGCTGATATAAAATCAGCAAACTAGAGAATATACTGCACTTTTTCAACTTTATGACATTTTGGGCCAGCGAATAGAGATTTCCAAAAACTTCGAACTTCACAAAGCCCACTGGTAATTATATCAAGGATATAGGTTTCTTGTTGAAAAAGTTGTAATCACTTGAATACCACCATTTTCTGTCTGACACCCTGTTTACTATTGGAAGATTCCAATTTTCAGTCAAGTATCTTTTTGCCTACATGGACTGCAGAGTACCACTGGGCCAGATATAACCTGGGTCTAACATCTAAACTGTTCTGTAGGCAATGGAACAATATACATCAGTTCTAATTTTTTTACCTGTTGATATTTTAATGAGAGGTGTCCATTGCCCACAATGCAGTATGTTCAACATCTACATTGAGGCTTGACCTGATAACTGATCAATCATAAGTATGTGATAGTCATGCTTACATTGCTCTCAAGGGCTTCTTACATATTCCATTGTCATGCTTTACTTTATGCCTGCCATCATGCTTTGTTATGATCAATAGAGGAGTCAAAGCCAGTAGAGGCTTAATCACTGTCGGAGAACATGTGGAATTGATGATGAATAGAAAGTGCTCAAATGGCTTTGACTTCCCTAGCCAGCCTAATTATATGTTTTAATCATGGTTTTGAAACAGGTATGTTTCCAGGTCTAGTTGAATTTGGAAACTTAAGAGATTGGTACAAATATGACAAAGCAAACTGCATATCTACATTTTGCCAGTCTTTTACAATGTCATAAGAAAATTGGTTCAGAGCAGATTATTTATTGTCTTCAACAAGCCTTATGCTATTAAATGTGTCTTTTTCTCTCTATTTTTTTTTTATTACTCAGCCAAATCATACTTGATTGTGTAAGGTATGTTAATTTATTATCTGTGCTTGATTTTGGAGTTCGTGATGCTTCCAAATTCAGCTTCAGATGGTTCTAGTTCAATCTAAGCAGCAGGTTTACACAGGGCACAGAGATTTGTATAGTATTAATTTAATTCTAATAATATTCATATCTTGGGTTATTTTGAAGCTGAAAGGTCTCAGTCACTGTGCTAGCCTCAGTCAAGTGAGTGGCATTGGTGGAGCATTGCTATGAAAGCAAATGCAGCTGTAACAGTTGGACAATATTGAACAATGTATAACATGAGGTTATGGTCAGAAAATGCAATAGAACTCTGACATGGATGTTCCATTGTACAGGAGGAGCTATCAATGCTCTTTAACCAGGAAGGCAAGACGACAGCACCTCTGGCAGCATGTGTATGTTGGCATTAATGACAGCCATCATCTTCACTGGTGTTGAGTGCATCTCAACCCCAAAGCACTGGCAACTGCTTTGGGGTTCTGTCTTGCTGGTTCCAAAGAAATTTCTTAATGAATTTTGAATACATAGCTCTTGCTTTAAGTTGTATGTTGTTCAGTGCTATACTCTGCCACTTTTCTCACATGGGTTAGCATGGTGACTATGATTTGTTGGTTTATTATTTATATATATATATATAATAAACCCCTATAAATACATGTGCCACTGATGGACATCAGCTTCCCATTCCTCCATTATGCTTCCTGCATTTAATTACTCTGCTTTTCTTTTCTGGTTGGTACAGGTATATTTAAGGCATAAATTACTTGGAATTAACTAGGTACATGATGGTTTTCTCCCTTGTACTTTCATTATAGCATTTATTTTTCTCAGATGAAACCAGTCAGCATTAAAGGAAACAATAATGACTACAGTACAACATTAATTTGAGTAACTGGTCTCAAGCCAAGGGCATCGAAACGTATTGAGGACAAAATAGGAATTCTGGTATTTTGCAACTTCCATGCAAATCGTGTGAGCGTTCATGAGACAGGCCTTAAATGGAATTCATGAATAGCTGCAAAATTCACACCCACTCCAAGCTGTTATTCCAGAGTCATGTTTGCATCAAGGGTGGTTTTGAAGTATCCCATGCCCAATTAAGTGTTCCGCTTGCAAAGAGTCAACTCGGTGTCTACCATGCTTTGATTCATCCCATGTCTGATGGAGAGTTCCGTGTGGGGGTTTCACCCCCATCTGCAGAGGTAAAAGTAATGCAATCTAGAAATTGGGTTGCTGGGAGGCGTGGCTCCCGATCGGAAGACCCGAAAGGAATAAAAAGAAAAAGAAAGAAAATGAGAGTAAGAGAGCGGAGAAGAAACAAGGGAAACCGGACGAGCAGGAAGGCAAGATAAACGACTGCATGAGTAATGGACAGGGACAACAGATTGCCGAGGGAGACGCCTTCGCCGGTGCTGCGAACGCAGCGGTCGGTGCTCCCGCGGGATCAGTCGGCGACGAATGCCGACCGTTCCGCAGGGCGCGGGCACAAGTGTGTTGACTTCATCCCGCGTCATCGATCACGCTCCTCACGTGCGTGTGCGATACGTACGTAGCGGTCCTTTGTTGGTTTGTATGTATCGTTTAGATCTTGGTCCACTTGTGTGCCCCAGAGATGAAGTAGAATTTCATCTCTACCTATGAGTAAAAGCCGACCAAATATGTTATCGTGGGTCACTGATCGCGCGTTCGAAATTGAAGCAGTCTCAGCTGAAGGAAACCATAGCCGCATCGTCTGCAAGTTGGAAATTGTGTCATTGCTTTCTTGATGGAGTCTCAACAGCATGGTAGATATCACCTTGTTGCCCAATCCCACAGTTTCGATCATTAGTTTTAATTTTTGGGTCCCTCACTTATGACAAAAAATGATAAATGACCAATCCTGGGAAGGTTCTCTTCATAGAGGGTAGGCTTGGGTATCTACATCATGTTTCAATAATGTTTTGTAATTATACCAACTAATTGCCGGTTCAAAATTTCGTAAGAACTGGCAATTGCAAATTCATAACTTTGGAACTGCCTTTCCTTATCCCTTTTTGATCCATGGTTGGACATGGTACAACAATCTCCATAGCATTATGAATAACATGGATTGCAAAGGGATAATGACCCAAACTTTTTTAAATGCTGAAGCTTTTTCTGCAGGGTTCCTGGCATCTCAAGAATCATTTATGACAAAAGTTAAGGTCTATTTATGTTATATGTTTATTAGCACATTGTGTAGGGGGGTAGTTGATCAATAGAACAATGTAAGTTTGATGGATCTCCTGATTCTTCTGAATGGATACATACAAAAAATCTATTGTAAGTCTCAGCTGTAGCCTCTACCATTGTCCTATCTGCCATTGTTTTGTAGTCTATAAGTCTATGGGCCTATGACTCTGCCAAGGCAAAGGACTATGAGGCATGCATCTAGTCACACTGTTTTTCCTAAGAGCCTGTGTCATTTGGAAGTTTAAAGTATTCCTATCGATGGTTTGAATCCCAAGGGAAGGGGTAATTTTATACTTCAATCTGTATTGAACCTAAGTTTATTCCTTAGCATTCATTTCCAAGCCTGCAAAAGTTAAGGCTTACACTTTGCTGATGATGCATGTAAAACACAGCAGGATATCGTTTTGATCTTTCATTTACCTTCATGCAGGTAAACAGAGGCTGCTCACAGTAAGCCTAGGCCCCTAGGCCTTGTGTGAATTAGGCTACTGAATGCCCTAACCTCTTGCCTCATTTTCATTTCATCGGAATGTCCCACCCCATATAGATTTTCATCCCCTAGCCACAATCTCTGGTGAGTGTAGTATTGATATTACATTCCTAGAACCATGTCCTAAAGCTATATATAGGCTTAGTGTTTTCAGATGTACTTCCTTCTCATTTACACATACTTTATACTTTTCCATCAACTTTAGTATCAAGTGCTGAAGAGTGATTCCCACTCACATGATAGATTTCATTTTACATGCTTGGACTTGCTAGGTGTCTCTTGAATACCATTGACAATAGCACCAGGGGCAGGATGTGGAATGGAAAAAAACAAGGTAACCTACTGAAATATAGCTGCAATTCCTGCCATGTCCTAGATCAAGCTAATTTAGTTGACACTCAATGTAACGAACCTCTTTATAAAAAATTTTTCCCCAGTTCCTGGCCATATGCTCATTCACATACCACATACATGTTTAAGTTCTCTGTAATGACGTTCTATATAAAAAATTGTTTGATTTTAGTCATTTTTTCCTCTAAAGGAACAAAACCATTCTGAAAATTAAATTGCTGCACACCTCTGAGCTACTTTATTTCGTGCATTTCTGGAAGATCTCATATATCTAAATTTAGCTTGTTCCACCCAATTATGGGTGTGGCTGTGGGGAGTAAGGAAGCTGTGTCAGTCAGTTTTAATCTTTTCAGTGAGTGGGATTAGGAAATGATAAACATTTTACAAGGATAAATGGAAAGTCACCCTTGCATTTCTTATTCCCCTCTGAAAAAAAGGGGGATTCCCAGTAATAAATGAATTTTTTTTTAGCCTGTCCCTTGAAGTTCATTTTATTGAGGCTCAACTGTATTTGATTTAAGCAACCTACATGATATCTGACTCCTTAAGATGGTCAGTGCTTTATGAATCTTGGATTGGCCAAATCCTTCATGTGTAAGCATTTATTCATATCAAAGGTTAAATATATACCACATTAAAATATAATTTGTCTCTGCAGCCATAACAGGAAATGACAATTTCTAGCCTTTCAAATGGTTTTTGGTTGGTTTTCATAGATCAGAAAACATTCATCATGGTTGACTATTACAAAGTTTTGGAAGTCCCAGCAAAGGCTACACAAGTTGAAATCAAGAAAGCGTAAGTGTTAGTTTCTGTGAGGTATTTCAATTCCTTGCTTCTCAACAGTGATGTGATTATGTCTTTAAAAAATTCTTCCAGTTACCGGAGACTTGCCCTTAAATGGCATCCAGACAAGAATCCAGATAACCTGGAAGAAGCTGAAAAGAAATTCAAAGAGATCTCAGAAGCATATGAAGTTCTTTCTGATGGTAAGTTTCTGCCTGGAGTGGCATTAACAGGCCTAATCTTGTATGCTTTTGGTATACAATGTTCATTGTACCAAATTTGCTTGCCAGGCAGTAGTATATATATTTTTTGCCATGGACTTTTGCTTGAAGGACAGTCCATCCAAAGTGATGGTATGACAATAGAGGTATAGATCTAAGTAAATTAGTAAGCCTATAAGAATTTGTTGGAGAGATTGCAAGGGACATATGTAGTTACCATTGTTCTCATGCAGAAAGCAAGCGGCGCTTGTATGATCAGCGCTGTCGTGAGAAAACTGATCGTCTTCATAGGCATCACTCTTTCCATGGATTTCACTTCAACCCTTTTCGACGATTCTTTGGTATTACTTTCCTAAGAGTTCCTATCCTCTTCAAGAGGTCTCTATGGCATGACAGCTAACAAGGACCCAAGAAGTTCTAAATCTGCATGTGAACTCACAAGATTTCAATAAAAGCCTTATCATGCTTTATCCTTTGGGACAAAGTCTCTGCATGCCACAGGTCTTCCATTTTAGATGATTCAGCTAGTCAAGCATTCACAAGTATACATGAGGAGGTATGCAGATCAAAATTGCCTTTGTGTCAGTCTTTTTTTTTTTTTTTTTTTTTAGCGACTTGGCCTTCACTTGTGTAAAAACAGTGAATTGTGTCTTCCATCTTATTTGTTTAAAAACATGACCATGGTATTGACATCTAGCCCCAGCTGTTTTCAAGTCCTTTCCTTTTTTAACATAGGGATTCCTAGCTGTGTGGTATGGATCTGACCATAATTCTCTCCCTTTAGCTTCCTTTCTATCTTGTGTAATCCTGACTTGAGTGTTCTTCATCATGGACAGACTAGTGGCAAGTACATCTGTCTGATTAAAATATGATTCCATATTCCAGAGAGGAAGAGGAGAGTGTATGATCATGGTGGGAGGGAGGGTTTGAGGAATCCAGGCCCTGGGCACATGGATGATCCGTTCCCGTCGTTCTTCGGAACAGAATTCCACTTTACAGATCCCTTCAAATTGTTTGAAGAATTCTTCTCACATGATCCATTCTTTCATGGTGAAGTTTTATACCTGATGGTTTCTTGCAACAAGTTTGTCTTTTCAATGAGAATATGTTGACCTCCAACTTAGGATTTCCTGGGTATGGAGTACATGGTCGGCGGCGAGAACCCACTGATGCTCTTAGCACACAATTTTTTCATCCATTTGGAATGATGGATAATTTGTTCACAAGTATGTTCAGCCATGGCTTCAATGATGGAGGCTTCACATCCCTCTCTGCAGTTTCAGCAAGCATGGATCCAAATTCTGCTGGAGCAAGTACTGTCAAGCGTACCTCTACCTCCACCAAATTTGTGAATGGCAAGAAGATTGTTACCAAAAAGTAAGTCATTTGTAGCATGAAAGAATGTTCCTTTCCAGTCTTGTGCAGACTTTTTGAGCAATTCAAAACCTGTACTTCCCTTGTGTTTTTAGAGTGGTGGAAAATGGCATGGAGACAGTGAGTATCTTAGAGAATGATGTACTGAAATCACGGACTGTGAATGGAAAGCCTCAACCCTTGAAGATTACAAAAAAATAGAAACCTCAAAACTTTTCCTACGTTCCCTATCTATTGTTTCTGAACCTTCTTTTCCTTTCCTTTGAATTGTTTCTTTTCTATTACATGCTCCAACATCCTTGTGGCCTCTCTCCTCATTCTCTTTTCCACATTGCCACCTTGTATATTTATTGGCACGAGCCTTTTCCTTCCATATAGTGTGATACATTTCATCATTTTTGAGTGGGATCAAGGAAGAGCTCATTCTTCTGTGTCCTCTACTTCAACTTTGCATTGATTCACTCAATCCATGTTGGAGTATCATTTTTCCTCTGTCTCTATTCTAGCAACAATGATTGAATAAGTGTCTGTGTGTCATTCTTCAAGGGGTGGCACATATAGGGTTTTTGAACCTGTTGTCAGGATTTTGTGATGAGATTGGAAATTGTACTGTGTCTGCTAAGAGGATTGCTTTAATTGCATTGCCTTTGTGTCTTTGGAAAAGGAAACTCTCTAGGTAAAGACATGGGGTCTCTTATAAATGGTGATAATACCCAAGAATAACATGAATAAGCCAACCGTACTATGATTCTTCATTCATTCCTAGGAAAAAGGAGGACAACAAAGCAGCAAATCACCAAACAACGCATTTTTCGGAAGGATTCATACGAGATCCCCGCGGACAATTAAATTCCCGGCTGAAGTCATCATTATTACTTAATGCACCAATGACACGAAACTCACCAGGGGAATGATCATCATTCACCACTTGGAGGTGGAATGCCTCTTTTGTCCCCACTGAGCACCAAACCTAGAATGATTGGCAAACTAATGTAGCACCCAAACTTGAGGAGCAATGGTACCATCTAAGGGTAGCCTCTTACTTAAACTGTATCAAGATATATCACTTGGTTAACTCAGGTTACAGACAAGTTATGAGTGAAATGTGTCTTCAAACAATTCCTTTCTGCCAGGATGAGTCTGATATAAATATCAGTATCAGTACAAGATCAGACTTGGCAGAGTAAAACACATTATACCTCACTCATCTATATAAATTATTTTGTTTCATTAGGCTATATGAAGTACAATGATATTGGAACTTTTCCACTCAGATGCCATTTGATGCCAATAGTTATGAAAATGGTCCTTGATTCACCAGTGATTGCCACAACAGTAGCTGGCATCACTGCCTAAAAATTGATTTATGAAAAGATCAAGGGCTGCCACAATAATATTGAACCATGTCCAAAACATGACCCTCTGTCAAGGCATCATGCTTTTATGTAACATCCTTGGTGAAAAGTAGTCTGGAATTTCATTACTCTGCATAGAAGAAGGAGGCTCAACTCATCCCTTTAGAAGATCACATTTCTTGAAACTCAAAGGTTTAGGCACTGATTCTAAAGGACACAATTCATTGCCACTCTCATCTTTTTGCATGATAGTGGCAATGGGTAATTGAAGAATTGACTTGAATATTCTCATATTTTGTTTGTGATACTTTCCTGGAAATGGAACATGCTGTGGTGGTTTTAACCATCAAGATTTATAAAGTTCTCAATCTTGTAAGCCCAACCTACATTTTGCTCATGGCAAAAGTGACATGATACCTTTTATTGGAATTTGTTTGCTGTCACTTTGCTTTTGGATATGGATCAAATATAACTTGCTTTTATGAGATAGAATGGCTGAAAAGTAGGGGCAACCAATATTTGAAAAAGAAATGCAGACAAACCTGTGCAAAGCTGATGAAGAATAGCTGACGAAAAGTGAAATTCAAACCAGGAAGATGCTGATCTTCGAAATTGGACTGGTGGAACAACCATGCATCATATGCTTTGTAGGCAGCCTTCAGTCCTCCATTATCAGCCAAGTTCTCACCTGGCATGGAAAACATGACATTGAATCTCAATAACACACAGAATTGAGAGGAGAATGACTTCCTAAGCAGATGAACCAGACCTAAAGTCTGCACTCCATTCAGGTTTTCCTCGTTGATCTTAAACTTGGCGTACTGATGAACGAAGCATTGTGTCTGCTTGGTGAAACGCTTGATAGTGGCATTATTCCACCAAGCATTCAAATTTCCATCCTTGTCATACTCTCTCCCTGTGATGAAAGGGAAGAAATCTAGGTCATTACCTTACCCAATAAAAGAATCCATGGACACAATGAGGCATATTCAAAATGTCTGCCTTCAGCTGCAATGCATATGGAAAGACGTGCACGCCACTGATGCACCAACACATCAATGATGCCATTTCGTCCCAGGCATGCAGGATACACTGACATAGGTCTTTAACATCAGCAGACATTTTGAATACAAGCTGTGACTATCAAAGATTTTTTGTTTTTGAACTACAATCATTCATAATTTCATGTAAATGGACTAATAAATATAAGTCTAATAAAATATTTAGGGGGGTCCCAATTTTATGAATCACAGTGTAGAGTGATAATTGCCCTGACCTTATAAGCAATCTGCCAGGCATTACCTTTTCAGGTGCAACACCTGACTGAGATAGAAATGACATTTACCAGCAGTCTTGAAATCCTGTGTATCCAAGCTGTCACATAAAAGGAGTTTTATTGCTATCATATCCAGTCATATCAGCTCCAAGCCATAGCAAGCAATCTTCCAGTACAGCTTGACATAAACCCCTAGCAAATGAATAATTTATGATGCCATTTTCAAGCCTGAAGCTCCTTGGAACTGTTGTAACAGAAACCCTGGAGTAGTGCCCCTTATGATGCCAAAATCTCAGTTGATCAGATCTTTTTGGATCATATTGCAATGCATGTATAACAAACAGGTGCCAACATAGGTACATCTTTGTAAGATAGAATGATCATAAGATGAACAAAATATAGTTTCTGGTTGCTGCAATAGGAGTATGCCTTCATGGAATATTTTATGAACAAATTATGGAGTCCGATCAATTATTGTCACCTTTGTTTGCAATGACTTTCTTTCACTGAATGCAACATTTGGTCCAAATTGGTGCTCCAGGAATATGCCCATGCCCTCTAGTTGATAGGGTATATTCTTAACTTCTCTGCAATAGCTGAGGAGACCGCTTGAGAGATACCCATAGCCATTCCTTATGTTTTAGATAATAATGACACTTAGGAGTTCCCATCACATGAATGACAAAGAGTCCCCTAAATGGCATTATTTTGAAGGATAATACTATAAGGAATATATTAAATGTCAGATCTAATGGAAGAAACCATGCAATTGAGGACACGGACTGACCAAATTCTGGAGGGAGAGATATATACCATGTTGGTCTGAATATGAGAAAAAGAATTTTCCTCATAAATAGGCCCATCAACACAGTGCTCACTGAATGAAATGCAGGGTGTCCCAGAAGTAACTATACCATTTCAAAAAATCACCTAAAAAACAATTGGCACAAAATAAAGGAAGTAACACTACCTAACCAATAGCATGTCATTTGGAATTATCTTTGTTAAAAATGAAGGCAATTTTGAGTTTTGAATGTGCCTCAAAATGCCCTCTGCTTACATCAATATATTTGGCATGAGGCTTGGCACCAAAAAAATTGCTGAAACTTCCTTGGGACTCTCAAAGACCTACATCCAGGTGGAATCTTTTCTTTGTTGCTCCAGCTTCTATTGCAAAGTATGTGAAAGCAAATTAAACAAAAATGATATTTTTTGTTTCTCAAGTCTATCTGTAATCAGGAGAGAAATACTAAAGTTTAGCAAATTTGTAAAAGAGGATTCAACAAGGTGTACCATGAATCGCATTAACCTTTCTGACATGCATTCAAAGCAATTTCTTTATGAGTCTTATACCATGTCATTATTGTAAAAAAAAATTCTAAAGAACATTCTCTCCAACAATGCTAACAATGGCCTGCTTCTTGCAGTTAGGAAAATATTTCATTTTGAAATGGTATAGTGACTTATGGGACACCCTGTAGATTAGTCTGGCTTCTGACATGTACATCATGAAATTGATTAAAGAATATCTGGAAATGATTTTTGGCCATCTTATATTCAGACCAATATGGAACTTCACAACACAAACAATAAGGGAGAGTAAAGGATTATTGACTTCAGGCAAGGTGGGGGGGGAACTGAAATATATGCACTATACAGTACTCCCTTAGACTATTGCATTTATCTCATGAAAGAGTCTCATCCCAATAAGATGCTATTTTTCCTCCAAAAAGACATGAAATTAAGTGCATAGTGATCAGTACTGTCAATGAATATGATAAGAACAGAAAAATGTTAGCAAACTGAAACAGACACTAACCCTGGTCATCGAAGGCATGTGTGAGCTCATGCCCCATGACAATGCCCAAACCACCATAATTCAGGGCCTGAGGGAAATCGGGGGAATAGAATGGAGGTTGCATGATCCCAGCAGGGAAGACCATCTGATTCCGAGTTGGGGTGTAGTAGGCATTCACTGTGGGTGGGCTCATCTCCCACCTGCCAAGAAAAAAAAAAACAAAAATGTCAAAACTAAGATATGGCAGATGCACAAAACCAAAACATCAGGTCATAGAAGACGATCCAACTTTGTGCGATTCACGGGTTTCCCGAGATTGTCGAGATTTTCTCGAAGTGCCTGTTGGTTCATGAGGATGTTGTTCTCAAAATAAGCATCTGACCTGATGTTCAGGCCATCATACTTCTTATTCAGCTCCTCAGTGTTCATGATGAATTCAGGATACCCTGCAGGACAATCATGGCATCATTCCTGGATTCAGCCTCTACTCATAACAATCAACTCAATCCAACCAACCAATCATATCTGTGATGGCATTGGCTTTTATAATGGCAGCATGCAGAGTCTCATCATCCATCCATGGCAAATTGACCAAATTTTCCTGGAATGCTGCCTTGATCTCGCTGATCATCTGCTGAGCCTGCACAGAAGTTAAGATTATGCATAGGGCTAGCAAAAAAGAGAATTTACAGTATTATGACAGCAACTTTTCTAAATTGTTCAGTGAAATGCTCCAGAGGAACTCATCTCAAAGACTCTTGACTTTATCCACATACCTTCACACTAACCCATACCTGGCTAATTTTTGCCCTTCAATTAGTAACAACTACACATTTACTCAACTGCTTAATCACTCATATGAAATATCTCAGGTAGTTCAATAGGGTCAGATCAATATTGAGAGCAACTATAATATCCAGCAAACTACACGTAGCACCAATGGCCAGTCTTGAAAATTATAACCTTCAGTAAGAATGGTTTCATCTCATCTCATCTCCCTCTCCCCGCCACTCCACTCCTTACACCAACACAAACAAGATTGGATCATTGCATTTTCATAATGGGGGTATTCCTCAACAAACTCTAGTGAAAAATGTGATTGAATAATTTCTGGTTCATTGAATTTTAGTTTCTCCATTGGTGCAATACAGACTCTTAGGAATACATGTACTAATGATTTTATTATACCAATTCATGAAATGAAAAGATCATGATGAGTGGAATATTTTCAGACTACTTACACTGGAAAAGTATGATGGCTTTAGAAATTTTCCCAAAATCCCTTTTCATGATAATATGAAATTTTATGCCATGGATAAGTTTTCTTGAATGCACAAGAACTTTAGCTTTGGCAATGGAATAGAAATAATAAACTATCAATGCTGAAGGTCACCTAATGCACCAAACCCTCTAATATTGAACCACCAACTTATTGGGTCAACATTGACAACATCATGTCTTTGCTGGTGCAACATACTGTACTACCTGGATATTGTGTAATGATTACCCCACCAAGTGGTACTATGTAGTGGGAGCATCAACATTTGAGTATAGGCAAGCTAGGCAGTTGCAGGGTAAAAATCAGCTTTATGGGCATTTTCAATATGCTTCAGTTCTTACTTAAGAACTAGAATATAAAGGGAATGCGGACAAAAGAGTGAGAACACCATGAACCAGCATCTGGACTCACCTGGGCTTTGGCTGAGCCGTTGAAGTGAGTCTTTACAAACAGTCCACCCATGGAATACCCAAAAGTGTTGGTGGTGTCATCTATACAATCCCGCCATCTGATCGTCTCTCCTTCCCCTCCCACGAGGGCCTTCTTGAGATCTCGTAACGCATCTCGAAACGACCGCGACAATGTGGAAACCATTCCATTCACAGCATGCCACATCACATAGTTTCCCAGCTGACTATATAAAATAATTTCACTCATTTATTCACCTTTGCACTGGAATGTTTGGCAAGAATTTCCAAACAGAACCTTGCAACAAAACATGTTTCTGCTATTCCAAGTAATTCACACAACTACATTATAAACCATGGGTATTGTGACTAAATTCATTTCTATTTTTTTTTTACATATAAATGATAATGAACTTGCAACATACCCTTAGAGACTTCAACTGCTATCTCATGTTGCAAGATGAAAGAGACCTTATGTGACTCCAAGAAGGTTTCAATAAAAAGGAATGCTGGAGTAAATGTATGGACAGCTGATATGTTGTGAGCCAAATCTATAAATTAAAGTGCTCCATTGCAAAACTTAATTTGAGCAATCTAAAGCATGGAATGTCTATAAATATAGACTTATTTTGAACTCACTTTGCTCAGGACCCTTTCAAGAGCCTATTTTTACTCAACAAAGGACACTGCATCCATTGCACAAATATAGCATGCCCATCACTGATATTTTCATGCAGTTTAAATATATTGAAAAAATTCACACAGGTGGTCAATTCCTCAGAGAAAAGTAGTATGATAAAGGACTTCAAAGAGGACAAAGCTCCTTAAATTCCACAGGCTTGGCTGTGATACCTGAAGTGGCGAGCAGAGATCATCCAACAATAAGATCAATATATTTTACTCATAATAATTATTTTGGTCTAGAGGCTCTTAGCAATGTGGCAGACCTAGCATATCTAAATGTGCTAGATCTGTTCTAAAATAATAATTCAAAGCCATTGTGAGATAAAGCACATCAAGACATTGACAGTACAAAGAAAATCAACTCGTAACAAGAGGGTAGAGAACTGTAACTCAGTGATTTGCAATGAAATGAGTAAGAAGCTCCACAAATAATCGGATGCAGGGGCTGACATGGATGCAACAAAACTGAATCGGAAGGAAAAGACAAAGGGATGCAAAATTAAAAAAATGAATACTCACATAAATGAATCGCAACCAGCAGGCAGCAAGCCCGAACAGCTCATGCACCATCTTTATCATCCAGTTATTGGATGATGGGACCTCACATTTTCCCCTTCTCTGTTGTCAGTCGCACCTCCACCAATTTAGACAAACCAGAGAGATACTCTGGGGCATAGACCAAGACAGATTCATCTTCAGTGATGCTCTTGTTCACCAGACCAAATGCCTCATTCATGTATGCCTTCCAGTCCAGCTGTCAAAAGCACTCATCTTGTGAATGCTGTAAAAGGTTCAAGCACAGGCCGAATATCATGAGGGACTCACGAATGGAGCAAGACCCTGCAGGGACCTGAGAGGCATCTTGTGGTACAGCTTTTCTTCATCCCTTCTCTGATCACTGGGAGTTGTGATGTTGGCCAAGAGGATCTCAAACTCTATTACTGCCCTCATCTGGTCTTTTAAGGACAAGCGCAATGCTTCCAACGGTTCTTCTTGCATGGGACCTTGTAGAAGCAGCCCTGTCTGCAAAAGCAGGGCATTGCAATTCAATCACATCTGAGTAAAGCATTCCTTGAGTAAAGGTCCATTGTTTTATTTATATTTTTTAGTTATTTGTTCACTTACCCTGGTCATGTACTCCAGCAGGGCTGAGAGAACATCATCAACTTCAATGCTCTTATTCAAGTAGTAATCTCGTGATGGCAGACTCAGACCACCCTGATCAATCTATGAGCAACAATGAAGATTCAATTCATTCAAAGATCATGCAGCAACATGACATCCATTCCCACTAAGATGCTAGACCAACCTGAATGATGTATTGGGTTGCATTCCGATCATCATCGCCAATTTTCCACCTAAAGAGTCCACCAAGATTAAATTTATTGTGTATCTTCTGGACAGCCTTCTGAAAGTTCCAAGTAGAGGCCTGAAAATTCTTTGATGATATGTTCCATCCCCCGAGTTCCTCAATGAATTCCACAAGGGGAGTAGCACCAAGATCTTCAAGTTTTCCATCCTTATCCACACATGAAATGAAGTAGCGCAGGGCCAGCATTTCTGCTGAAGATCCCTTGAGATTGTTTTCTTGCTTCAACAGATCATCTGCAAATGAAAAACCTCAATAGGAACGGTCCTTTCACCAACAAAGACAGTGATTCAGGTGACACCATCGTACCAAGGGCATTCCGCAAGACGAGCTGGTTTTCCTGACTCAATTTTTCTATTATGTTCCACATGCTCTTGCCAGCAGGTAAAGGGTTCTTTCTCACCCAGCCCCCACAAGCATAGTGGTAAAAGTCTTCACAGGGATCAATTGTGAGATCCATGGCCGCTAAGATTGATGCCGATGTCTGGATACATGAGGGGGTCAAGCAAGCCTCAGCTTCTGCAAAACCAACAAAACAATTAATTCTATTCCTTGGACAAAACAGACTTTAGGCAACTCTTGAATGACTGGACACTGCATTGGATACCTTTATGGATCTCAGGGGTTGAAAAGTAATGGATCATCAATAAGATGGTCAGGACAAAGATGAGGAAAGCAGACGCAATGCAACACGAACAGAGGATTCTCTCCAAGGCTGTCCTCATTCGCAGTCTGGGGCATCCCTAAATGCAGCAAGTGAAACTTGGCTCCATTGAATGTGCAAGCATGAACCCTAACAGACTGCCTTCACATGGTGAACCAGCAGGATGTAATAAAATGAGAAAACCAATGGGGATAATGCAGGCCAGATGTAAAAACTGAGGTGAAACTTACTGTGTAGAATCTGAAGTGCTGTGGTTGAAAAGTGATTCCATCATTGATTCCAAGAGTGACTGAGCCAACACTGCTAGTCTCCTCTTCAAAATCAGCTTGCTTGTATTGGGGTGACTGATAGAAGGAAGTAATAGAGATGCAATTCTCTCATGACCAAGAAAAGACCACAAAACAAGCTCAGTGGCAAAAATTACAAAATATTTATGACTTTTTGTCAAGATGTAAACCTTGAGATGGAATATTTCTCTATTTTAGTCAGCACTACACGATTATATGATCAACTGGTTTTTGTGGTATAACCTCCACAGACTCAGAAAAAGCAAACATAGGATTTAGCATGTCCACATGTCACTGAAGTCTTTGGACATTAATAATTGTAACAGAATATACAAGCATTTTACCTCGTTCATGTCTGATAAGGGGTCTATGATATGCTTGAATCACTCCAACACTATGCTGATGAGCATCACCACAATCTTTGCTTAGCCATAGAGGTTCTGTAAAAGGAAAAAAAAAAAAACAGGATAGGCCCAATTGGGACTGGAGCCCTTAGCCCATGCTAAGAACTGCGGTTCTCACCATAGAGACTATAGTCCGAAAGGTCTCATCAGTGGACAGGAAGAAGAGCAAGATAGGGCAATGAACATATCGCCCTTGCCATTTTCAGTGGTTGGCCGTACCCGATAGTCACTTTCGCTGCGTCGCGCAAACTTCATAAGTGAGATTCGCTGGCAAGTCGCTTTGACACACCAGAGTCCTCCCGCACGTGCGCGTGGTCGAGTTGCTGCGGTGAGCAAGGTTGAACGCGATTGGTCAGATGAGGTTGCAAGCCCCGTCCACAAGGGACATTTCATAGGGCGTCTTCTGCGAACCATGTGCTTATCTTATCAAGTCCCCGTGCTATGGGTTTAACAGACTTCATCACTTGCCTACGCTCAAGTTTATCCTGAGAAACATCCGATGCGTGAAATGGGGTGGCTCGTCACCATCACATTCTGCCTCCTTGAATTTCATTTTGCAGCCCCCTTCGAGGGTTTCAGCATAAACTCACGTTTTGAAAATCAGAGCTCCACTAGGGACACTTCTCCTTTCGTCTCATTGGACGAAAGTGCCTCGCTGAACTACATCACTGCCGAACTCCCGGTTTCAAAGGTTAGATTTTTTTAAAATACTTGTTTCATATAGATTGAAGTTTCTTGATTCTTTGAACCTTGCCTTAATGCTGACAGCTTTTGCCGCTCTTGCAATAATTAAAACTTCGCACTTTCAGCGGCTCAAATCATCTCAGCGACTCTTTGTCGTCGACTACGAAAACAACCGCTTCCTGTTTCTACCCTTCGGTATGTCCATGCAAAGTGGGTCGATGCATTACATGCGCATCCCAAGAATACATTGGAGAGATAGGCTGCTGAAGCTGAGGGCAGCAGGCCTGAACGCCATCCAAACGTGAGTGCTTTCATTACTCAGCTGGATATCAAAGCCTAGACATCAGAGCTGTGTTCTGATCCCTCAGTCATTATTGACATACCATGCATTCTGCAGGTACATCCAATGGTCTCTACATGAGCCTTGGCCTGGGGTTTATGATTTCGATGGAAACCTTGACATCTCGTCGTACTTCAAGGAAGCTCAAGACTTGGGCCTTGCAGTCATCATCCGCCTTGGCCCATACATTGATGCCGAAATGGATATGGTGAGTCTATGATTGATGAAGGAGTTACTTGTGTGTTGGTGACTGAGAGACAAGTTTTTTCCTTTCATAGGGTGGGCTTCCATTCTGGCTTCTAAGGGAGGATCCCCACATGAAGCTACGAACAAGTGATCCATGTGAGTTTCTAGTATAATTTTTATTAAATACTGTTATGATAGTAGATGAGGTCTTATCCTAAAATGTATTCCAGCATACATGAAGTGGGTTCAGAAATGGTATGGTGTTCTTCTACCTATACTCCGACCACTTCTGTATGAAAATGGGGGACCCATCATCATGATGCAGGTTAGATCATCTCTCCAAAGAATTTACAACCACAAAGAAAAACTGCATCATCACACTCTTACTGGTTGATGCAGATTGAAAATGAATATGGAAGTTACTTTGCCTGTGATTCAAACTACACCTTGCAACTGCGAGATCTCACAAGGGGCTATGTCGGGGATCAGACTGTGCTCTTCACAACAGATGGACCCAGTGTGAACTACCTTCGATGTGGGTTTATCCCCAAGGTCTTTCCAACAATTGACTTTGGATCAGGTCAGATCCTGTCCAATACATTTGATTTGAGACCCACCACATGAAGGTGTATGTAATTGTTGCTAATTTCTTTTCTTTTGCAGGACAAGACATTGGAGCAGCCTTCTTCAATGGCCTGCGTCCTTTCCTGCCCAAGGGGCCGCTCGTGAACTCGGAGTACTACCCAGGTTGGATAGACTACTGGGGATATCCTCATAGCACAGGTGCCACCAAGGCAGTGGTTCACACCATGGTTCGAATGCTTGCCCTACCGACTGTCTCTGTCAACTTCTATGTCTTCCATGGAGGCACAAACTTTGGGTTTTTAGCAGGTAAGTCACCTGCTACACTTTTGTAGCATCATGTTGTTTGTAAAAAAATATCAGTTCTCATGGTGAATGCAAACAGGTAGCAATTCAGATCCATTTCGAGGGGTAACAACATCATATGATTATGATGCCCCATTGACTGAAGCTGGTGATCCAACTGAGAAATACTTCACCATTCGGGATGCACTTAATGTGGTAAGCTAAGGATGTATTTTCTTTTCACTTTTTTTCTCCCTTACCTGGGCAACAGTAGCACATTGGACTTCCCAGGGTATATTTCGTTGCATTACCCTCTGGCAACTAAAAAAAATTTTCTACAAATTTAATGTGTCTTTGATAGCCAGTTATCTATAGATCTAAAAACAAATTTTTTGTTTTGATTTGCTTTGAGTGAGAAATTCTTGCCATTTTTGCCCTTGCCCTTTTTTTTTTTTTTTTTTACAGAAGACTTTGCCAAGGTAAGGGTTAATTTAAGTAAAGTCTGTCAATGTATCAATATTCATTGATACCCTTGACTACTGTGTATTTCTGGCTGGCAAATGGTCAAGTGACTGCTGCCTGATATTTGATCTTGAATTTTGTTTCCCATTGTCTTTTGAGCACTTTCACTGTGTGAACAACAACTTTTGCTTCCTGCTTATTATGACATGAGAAGCAAACTCAAATTTACATTGTTTCCTTCTCTGGTGGAATTTATTACTTTTAAATGGTCCCTTGACATTGTCACACTTGAGGCATAAACATCCACCAATAGCCAATATTATCCAATTCAGGTGTGTCAATCTGGTAGCCTGCCAGTCCATTACTTCCAGCCTGCAAAGTTCACTTCAACAGTTAGTTTCATGAAAGTACTATACATTTTAAACCTTTTTGTTTTATAAACTTGGTTTAAGATTTCTTAGTGTGGCACCCAACCTACCTATTTGGGCTCCAGGTGGAGTTGACACCCCTGCCCTAATTGTTCCCTCCAGAGTTAGAAAATGTTCTGTAACCTGATAAGCAGGTTACTGGGAAGTGTAGCAACCAATCAGGAAGGCAAGGGAGAGGAAAAAATAAATAGCTAAGAGTAGAAAAGCAAGGGGGAAAAAGTAAATAATGCAAAGAGAAGGAAGTCAAGAATTAGTCTGAGTGTTTGGAATGAGGGATGGCAAGGGATTGAAAGAAGGTAAATAATGACTGCAAAAATATCAAGCTTCTGAGAGGCACCAGGAAGGTATCCCCATGTGACTGGTGTTGGGTAAGTTCAGGGAGGAGAATATTGATTTTTTTCCTCCTGTACCTTCCCACTCACCTATGTACATAAGCTGAAAGTGTATTCTCCCAATCCTGGGGTTGCAGGATTTCACCCTAAGGAGGAGAATGGAAGGTGAGAAGTTGGGACAACAATCAAATATACCTGACTGTGAAGCAGAGATGGCCTTGTCATAGGCATAAAAAGGGAAAATAATTTTGAATGCGTATTTCACGAGGTGAGAGATCCTGGTCACTGAGTTAAGTGGTGTCTTGCACCTCAGAAAGCCCTTCCTTTGCTCTTGAATCAATCAGTTGGCAGTCAGCCTTACATTATCTGGCTTTCTGCTGGCAGAATCATTTTTCCCTTCATGCCTCTTTCAAGTGACCTTACTTGGCACCAAGAAGAGAGAGAATACACCAATCTCCATTCTCTATCAGAGTGCCGTCAAATTACATTCAACTCTCCCAATTCCTCATGCACTGTGGCACATTTGGTCCTGTATAAGACATCCTGGCATGTAACAGTTTGTGTGTCCTGTAAACTTGTATGCATCCTGCCACAGGGAATATCTGCTGGTGTCTAGCAACAAAGTGCCCTATATGAACCCTTAAACCCATTGACAATCTAAGGAGCTCCAAGTTCAAGCTCGTCATCTCCATTTTGGAGGTAGAAGTATTTGGCATTTCTTGCGAAGAACACAGCAAGCATAAAAGTTGAAGTTACATGCTGTTTCAGTGGCCATTGATGAACTGAACAGACGGAAGGGAAGGATTGAAGTATGAATTCACTAAACTCAATACAACAAGTTCAGAAATGAAAATATAGATCGATGTGCTCCTCTGCAGATGAAAAACCTTTAAAGACCCCTTTAAGTAACATCTGCAATTTCAATAAACGCCAAGAGAATAAGATGCCCCCCCCTCCTTCCTCATCTCAGGGTCACTTCACACACCTGCTGAACTGGGAAAGTAGATCATGGTTACGAGGTAGCAGAAAAACTTTTTTTTTGGTTCCCTCATAAACTTTTTAAAAGCTTGTGACTGAATTTTTATTCACATTCATTTTTACTTCTTCTTGCAGTTGTTTCCTGGTCCTCAATTCCCTGTGCCAGACCCAACGAAGAAATATGCCTATGGCAATGTTGAAATGAATTATGTCACATCTCTGTCGAGCCTCCTCAGTTCCCTCGCTCAAGAGCGGCCCATTTCCAGCTCTCACCCTCTAACATTTGAAGAGATTGGCCAGGCATATGGCTTCGTCTACTATGAGACTGTCGTGGACATCCATCCAACCGATCCAGCCATCTTGAACGTGTCTGAAGTGCATGACCGAGGATATGTGTTTGTTGGAGATGTGAGTCCTCCCTGAAAGAGCATTAGCTACCTGGTCAAACTTTTCTCATAATGATTCCTCTCTCCTCACAGAAACCTGTGGGAATTCTCAGCAGGGAAAGCAATTCCTACTCTATGCCAATTTCTATCATCAAGGGGCAGAGATTGGGGATTCTAGTTGAGAATCAGGGACGAATTGCCTTTGGACGTGACATCAATGATTTCAAGGTGCCTCATTCTTCATTCCTGTCTTTAAAGAAAGACAATGCCAATGGACTTATTAGGAATTCCTATAAATTCTTTAGGGGATAATAGGTAACGTGACCCTGAGAATGGCAGGTGATGATAAGCTTCATATCCTGGAGCCCTGGTCTATGCATTCATTGCCATTGAACAACACAGAGGACTTACTGTCTCAGTTGAGAAGACGTTTTCAAAGAAATCCCTTGCCCAAACAAATAGTACACGGATCAGTAGCCTTTTATTATGGGACTTTTCCACTCCCTTCAGCACTGAAGAAAGAACCTCAAGACTCCTTTCTTCAATTTGATGGATGGACCAGAGTGAGTTCCAGACCTTGACTTCCGATATGTTGACCTTTTCTCCTCAAAGGCAGTCACCTTCACTTTTTTGTCCTTAGGGCATAGCCTGGGTGAATGGTTTTAATTTGGGAAGATATTGGCCAGTGATGGGACCACAGTTGACCCTCTACGTACCCAAGAGTGCATTTAGGCCCCTGAATGAGGTCATCCTGTTTGAACTGGAGGGCAGCCCATGTGAACAAGATGGTAAATGTAAGGTGCAGTTTGTGGATTCCCCCATTTTGAATGGATCCACTCCTCACATTGAGAGTCCATTGAGCCTTGCACAAAGAATTTCTGGTGATGGCCTGTTTGACTTGTCTGGGCCTGTTTGACTTGTCTGCCTCTCTTGACACATCTAGTCTTAATCCTGGTGATAAAAGTGGTTAACTGATTGGAATGGGTTCTTTTTTCAAGAATTTTGCACCCTTTCAAAATGATTATTTTTTAAATGGGGTTTGAACTAGCAAGTACAGTGTTTGTTAAAACCCATCTATGATGCAGAGATTTGATTCTATCAAGACAGATGTGCATAGGCAGCGATTCATAGGGGCTCAGTGGGCTCAAGCCCCCCCAAAAAATTTGGCAGAAGTGGCTCCCAGTAAGGACAAGAATATGGAATAGTTGGAGTACTTTCTCTGAGTCCCTGCAAATTTCTCAACAAATCACTGCCTATGCAACTGTGTCAAGACTGATCAAAATTTCCATGACATGAGGCCATGTCATTTTTCAGAGCTAAAGAGCATGCATGACATGACATAGATGTCATTAGATTACTATGGGTCATTGACTTGAAGCATTTACTCCTTACTACGCACCCCACAGACAGCTTTTTTTTTTTCATATTTTCTCATGTTGTTCTTGACGTTATGCTAATCCTTTCCTGGAATAAATGTGGCTGATGACTTTCATGGTTTACTCATTACTACTAACTCCTCTGTTGGTGGCAGGCTTTTCAAATGATCTTATCCTTGTCTTGGGGTTTTGCTAATCCTTGCTTGTTCATCTCCAAATGTCTTGTATGCTGCATGTGCTACAATTCTTATTTTATAAATCTAAGATAGGAAGAAGAATAGATACCTGACACTTGATATTGGTATTGATTTATCTGCAATATTAGACCTATGGCTATGGTCTGACAAGGAGGGGATTTAAAAAAATTAGCAATAGGTAATCAGAAGGACTGTTCTGATGTATTGGCTACCAGTGTGGTGGCATCAGTGGCATAGGCAGAAAATCTGCAAGGGAGGGATTGAGGTGAGGTAGACACGCCAGCCCTACGCTTAGCTCCACCACCTGTAATTTACCTTTTTAAAGAAAATGTGGTCTGGCATCTTGGGTCTATGGATGGACATTGGGACTGAAAGAGGGATAACTAAAACTGGAATTCCCAAGGAAGGCTGAAATAAGCCTGTCTTTCACTGACCAGGAAGCCTAAGGGGGGGGGGGGGGGGGTTTGACCCCTTAAACCCCCCCCCCGCCACTGGGGGCCATCAGCAGACTTGCAAGAGGGGGGGGGGGGGGGGGGGGGGGGGGGGGGAGTTTGACCCCTTAAACCCCCCCACGCCACTGGGTGCCATCAGCAGACTTGCAAGCTGCTGATGTCAATTATCAAAGGAGGGACATAATGGGAAAAAAAATTGCATTTAAGATGTGAATGTGGCCAGGTGCCAGCCCACCTTTCTCACTGAAAGCTGCTTTTGCTCACCACGAGATAAATACCTGGTGGCCTAAAAGTCACGCCCCATAGAGAAAGTACATATAGGGTGGTTAAAAAAAAAGTGCCCTCTATGTGGATACAGCGCCATCTTGCGGAAGTGAAAAAAAGCCCTTAGACTCATGAGCCACTCTGCCAAGTATGAGCTGAATCCAACTGTCCCTTGAAAAGTTAAAGTTGAAAATATTTCATGGAATTCTGAGACGGTCGACCACAGGTAATCGCCTCACTTGAGGTGGAATGATCCACCTCTAAGCACCTTTATTTCACCTCTAAATGGGCATTGCACAACTTAGGCGAGGGTGCTGAAAAGAAGCTGTCAAGAATTTCAACACCTTATAATTGTCAGATATCGATTGCGTATCCAATGTAATTTTTTTTGCTGAATTTGTGAAACTGTGTTTCTCCCATAGAAAACAATGGGCTTTTTGCTTCAAATTGATCAGTTGCTGCAGAATTTAATGAAAACGATCCAGAGAGGCCTCCAATCGATCATTTTTTCTTATTAGTATTCAAAATCCCTATGGGGCACGACTTTTGCGACATCCTGTATATCCATTGGATTATATTTCAGCACGATTGTAGGAACCAGAGCAGAAAAATAGTGATAAATAATGGGGAAAATCATTGCACCTCCTTTTACATGATGCTTTCGTGAGAGACGTGTCATTAAGTGCTGCTTACGGCAATATGTTAGAAGCAAACCGCAGACTGACGCTAACAGACATGACCTAAAAACCGGTCTCTCGTTTTTATTAGACCCACATGGCTTCCATAAGGGTCCGATTTGAATTATTGTGCAATTTCATGTGAATTTTCTCTCAATTTACAGGCGACAATCGGGTTAGGCACTGACACCAGCTGATGGTGCATCAAAATTGGCTATTGGTACAACCCTAGTAATTAGTATAGGTATGTACAGCATGAAAGAAAATGCTATAATCCATTACCACATGGAACCATGACGTAAATTGTAAACTCCAACAATCGATTGAGGAGGAACGAAGACGGTTCAAATTGCCGGAGGGCGCATCTATGCTAAGAGCAACGGCGGTTCATGGAGACCAAGTCCGAAAAGTCTCATCAGTGGGCAGCAAAAATGACAAGATAGGATAATAAAGGATCATATCGCCCTTGGCATTTTCAGTGGTCGGCCGTAGTCCATAATACTTTCGCCGAGTCGTGCAAACTTCAAACAGATTCGCAAGCGAGTCTTTGACACAAGCGCCTTCTCGCACGTGCGCGCAGTCAACAAGCATGGTTGAACGCGACTGGTCGATGCGGTTATAAGCCACGCCCATAAGAGACATTTTTACATGGCGACTTCGGCGAAGCATGTGCTTTTAAGTTTTGGGTAAAAGTCTCTGTGCCTTTGAATTAAAGGACTTCGTCACTGCCCACTGACAGATATCCTGGGAGACATCCGATGTGTGTAATGGGGTGGCTCTTCCCCATCGCCCTCTGCCTCCTTCGCCTAGCTGCTCCTCTCAAGGGTTTGAGCTACAACTCGCATTTTGAAAATCGGAGATCTATCAGGGATACTTTCCCCGCCTTCATCTCATCGGACGAAAGTGCCTCGCTCAACTACATCACTGCCGAACTCCCGGTTTCAAAAGTTTGATTTTTTAATACTTGTTTTATATAGATTGAAGTTTCTTTGAACCTTGCCTTAATGCTGACAGCTTTTTGCCGCTCTTGCAATAATTAAAACTTCGCACTTTCAGCGGCTCAAATCATCTCAGCGACTCTTTGTCGTCGACTACGAAAACAACCGCTTCCTGAAAGATGGGAAGCCATACAGGTACGTTTCAGGGTCGATGCATTACATGCGCATCCCAAGAATACATTGGAGAGATAGGCTGCTGAAGCTGAGGGCAGCAGGCCTGAACGCCATCCAAACGTGAGTGCAAAAGATGGGAAGCCATACAGGTACGTTTCAGGGTCGATGCATTACATGCGCATCCCAAGAATACATTGGAGAGATAGGCTGCTGAAGCTGAGGGCAGCAGGCCTGAACGCCATCCAAACGTGAGTGCCTTCATTACTCAGCTGGATATCAAAGCCTAGACATCAGAGCTGTGTTCTGATCCCTCGGTCATTATTGACATACCATGCATTCTGCAGGTACATTCAATGGTCTCTACATGAGCCTTGGCCTGGGGTTTATGATTTCGATGGAAACCTTGACATCTCGTCGTACTTCAAGGAAGCTCAAGACTTGGGCCTTGCAGTCATCGTCCGCCTTGGCCCGTACATCGATGCTGAAGTGGATATGGTGAGCCTATGATTGATGAAGGAGTTACTTGTGTGTTGGTGACTGAGAGACAAGTTTTTTCCTTTCATAGGGTGGGCTTCCATTCTGGCTTCTAAGGGAGGATCCCCTCATGAAGCTACGAACAAGTGATCCATGTGAGATTCTAGTATAATTTTTATTAAATACTGTTATGATAGTAGATGAGGTATTATCCTAAAATGTATTCCAGCATACATGAAGTGGGTTAAAAAATGGTTTGGTGTTCTTCTACCTATACTCCAACCACTTCTGTATGAAAATGGGGGACCCATCATCATGATGCAGGTTAGATCATCTCTCCAAAGAATTTACAACCACAAAGAAAAACTGCATCATCACACTCTTACTGGTTGATGCAGATTGAAAATGAATATGGAAGTTACTTTGCCTGTGATTCAAACTACACCTTGCAACTGCGAGATCTCACAAGGGGCTATGTCGGGGATCAGACTGTGCTCTTCACAACAGATGGACCCAGTGTGAACTACCTTCGATGTGGGTTCATCCCCAAGGTCTTTCCAACAATTGACTTTGGATCAGGTCAGACCCTGTCCAGTACATTTGAGTTCAGCATGTGTATGAGATTGTCTCTCAATTATTTTGGATATGCAGGAGATGATATAGGAGCAGCCTTCTTCAATGGCCTGCGTCCTTTCCTGCCCAAGGGGCCACTCGTGAACTCGGAGTACTACCCAGGTTGGATGGACTACTGGGGATATCCTCATAGTACAGGTGCCACAAAGGCAGTGGTTCACACCATGGTTCGAATGCTTGCCCTACCTACTGTCTCTGTCAACTTCTATGTCTTCCATGGAGGCACAAACTTTGGGTTTTTGGCAGGCAAGTCACCTGCTAAACATTTTGGATATCGCATTAGTTGTAAAAAAAGAAAAAGATTGATTCCTAGGGTGAATGCAAACAGGTAGCAATTCAGATCCATTTCGAGTGGCAACAACATCATATGATTATGATGCCCCACTGACCGAAGCTGGTGATCCGACTGAGAAATACTTTGCCATTCGGGATGCACTTCATATGGTATGCTGCATCATACCCTTTTTCATTTTTACCCTCACTGGGGAACAGAAGTTCATTTGACTCCCCAGAGTATATTCCACTGCATTGCTCTGGAAAACTTTAAATTAGTAAATGGTAAACAACATTTCATGTTTTTCCATAGATGCATAATTATCCATAGATCTGAAAATAATTCGTTTCGATTTGGCATATTTGTGTCACAAAAGACCTTGCCTGGATATGGTTAAATTGAAGTCTGGTCTGTTAATGTATTATTAGACATTTTTTGGCACTTTTCTCATGTCATGATTGTACCATGGGTATTATTCCCATTGATGCCATTCACTTCTGTACACTTCTGGCTGGCAGATGAAACTGCCTGATTGTTGATTTTGAATTTTGTTTTCATTTGTCTTTTGAGCACTTCCACTGTGAGCAACAATTATTGCTTCTTTCTTATGACACGAGAAGTAACATAAATTTTCACAATTTACTTCTCTGGTAGTATTCATTACTTTAAAATTACCTTTAAATGTTCCCTTGGCTTTATCACACTTGAGGCCTAAACATCGCTTTTATATTATACAATTAAGGTATGTCAATCTGACAGCCTGACAGTCCATTATCTCCAGGCTGCAAAGTTCTCAACAATTGGTTTCATGAAAGCACTTTAAATTTTAACCTGTTTATATTATAAATTTGGTGTAAGGTTTTTTATTGTGGCAGGTTGCACAATAAACTATGAAAATGAACTAATGCATTTGGCCTCCAGCCTAATGGAGTTTGACATCTTTGACCTTTCTGTTTCCTCTTCAACTTTTAAATTTTTATTTGTGGTCTATTTTTTATTCACATGTTTACTTATTTTTTTGCAGCTGTTTCCTGGTCCTCAATTCCCTGTGCCAGGCCCAACAAAGAAATATGCCTATGGCTATGTTGAAATGGTTTATGTCACATCTCTGTTGGGCCTTCTCAGTTCCCTCTCTCAAGAATGGCCCATTTCCAGCTCTCACCCTCTAACATTTGAAGAGATTTGCCAGGCATATGGCTTTGTCTACTATGAGACTGTTGTGGACATCCATCCAACCGATCCAGCCATCTTGAACGTATCCGAAGTGCATGACCGAGGATATGTGTTTGTTGGAGATGTACGTCTTCCTCGAATGAGCATTATCTACCTGGTCAAACTTTTCTCATAATGTTTCCTCTCTCCTCACAGAAACCTGTGGGAATTCTCAGCAGGGAAAGCAATTCCTACTCTATGCCAATTTCTATCATCAAGGGGCAGAGATTGGGGATTCTAGTTGAGAATCAGGGACGAATCTGCTATGGACGTGACAACAATGACTTTAAGGTGCCTCATTCCTTCTTCATATCTGCCTTTGAAGAGCAAGAATGCCCATGGACCTATAAAGAATTCTATCGGTTCTTTAGGGGATAATAGGTACCGTGACCCTGAGAATGGCAGGTGACGATAAGCTTCATATCCTGGAGCCATGGTCTATGCATCCATTGCCATTGAACAGCACAGAGGACTTACTGTCTCAGTTGAGAAGACGTTTTCAAAGAAATCCCTTGCCCAAACAAGTAGTACATGAATCAGTGGCCTTTTATTATGGGACTTTTCCACTCCCTTCAACATTGAAGAAAGAACCTCAAGACTCCTTTCTTCAATTTGATGGATGGACCAGAGTGAGTTCCAGACCTTGACTTCCGATATGTTGACCTTTTCTCCTCAAAGGCAGTCACCTTCACTTTTTTGTCCTTAGGGCATAGCCTGGGTGAATGGTTTTAATTTGGGAAGATATTGGCCAGTGATGGGACCACAGTTGACCCTCTACGTACCCAAGAGTGCATTGAGACCCCTGAATGAGGTCATCCTATTTGAACTGGAGGGCAGCCCATGCGAACAAGATGATGAATGCAAGGTGCAGTTTGTGGATTCCCCCATTTTGAATGGATCCACTCCTCACATTGAGAGTCCATTGAGCCTTGTACAAAGAATTTCTGGTGATGGCCTGTTTGACTTGTCTGCCTCTCTTGACACATCTAGTCTTAATCCTGGTGATAAAAGTGGTTAACTGATTGGAATGGGTTCTTTTTTCAAGAATTTTGCACCCTTCAAAATTATTTATTTTTTTAATTTATTTTTTTTTTTAAATGGGGTTTGAGCTAACAAGTACAGTTTGTTATAACCCATCCATGATGCAGAGATTTGATTCTATCATGACAACTGTGTTAAGAGACATCAAAATTTCCATGACATTTTTCAGAGCTTAAGAGCATGCATGACAGATGTCATTAGATTCCTATGGTTCATTGACTCTATGCATTTACTCCTTACTACTCACCCCACAGACAGCTTCTTTTTCATATTTTCTCATGTTGTTCTTGACATTATGCTAATCCTTTCCTGGAATAAATGTGGCTGATGACTTTCATGGTTTACTCATTACTACTAACTCCTCTGTTGGTGGCAGGCTTTTCAATTGATCTTATCCTTGTCTTGGGGTTTTGCTAATCCTTGCTTGTTCATCTCCAAATGTCTTGTATGCTGCATGTGCTACAATTCTTATTTTATAAATCTAAGATAGGAATTAGAACAGATACCCAACACTTGATATTGGTATTTATGTATCTGCAACATTAGACCTATGGCTATGGTCTGACTGGAATTTTTATTTTATTTTCCTATGGAAGTCAAGGGAAAAGAATTTACTTTACCTGCTCAAGAAGCACATGGAGTGGGGATTTTATCTTCAGAAAGGAATTTTCACTACACTTTCTTCCACAGCTATGTTGAATGAAACTATCTCAGATTTCAGGACAATTCTTACAAATGAAATCAAGAGTAGGGTGTTTCTAAGGTAATTTTGGATTTCTTAAGTACTTTCCCTTGTGACTCAATGTTTTCTTGCAAAAAAAACCTCTTTGCTCCCTCCACATTCACAGAGAAAAGCAGCTTAACTTTGAGAGTCAACGTCAAGAACACATTTTATACTCATGGGAAATGCAATACCTCCTCAGAGGAATTCAAGCCTGCAACTCACATGATACATTGCCATGTCACATTCTGCACGAAACAGACCACAATCCGAGAAAATTTACTTTCTCTAATATCTCTTAGCTCAACTTGATCACATTTTTTACATTTAAATAAAGACAACTTAATTATTTTATGACATGAAGATACCCAGTCATTTTCTCCAATCTTGTAGTTATTGACAATGTTGAAAAAAGATTTTTCTGCATTTTCTGCTGGCATTTCTTCACCTAGGGGATTTGGCAACCTTGGCTTTGCAAATCTTATCACTTATATTTTAACTTAGAATAACTTAGAGTATAACTTACCTCTATGTCACATCTTACCATGTTGCCTTTACTCTCTATTTTTCATTCTTCCAATTGATAAAACCAATGTATTGTATCATGTAAAGGTACACAGAAATAAATATCAATATCATTCTTCCAGTAAAAAACTCTTAAGGGAACTTTGAATTACTTCATAGATAACATTAACTGTAACTTTCACAATCATGTTGAAACTTACCTTAGTGGCTTTTTAAGATTTAACTCACCCCACATTACTGGCAGCATCTTAGACACAGATTTTACTCAAGCAGCTTTCTAGTGTAAACCAAATGTATAAAAATGCCTTGATTAAATTTCAAATTTAATCATGAAACTCAATGAACAAGTCTAGAGTTCTGCAAATTGTGAAATTCAGATGAATCATGCCATCTTATACATACAGTAACCCTGTGAAGTGGATATTGGAGAAATGTTAACCACAGCCTAGCTTGACAGGTATGTGATTGTGGACACAAATAAAATTTTAACCCATCTTCCTGGTATTTGCTGCAACATAAAAATGTAAACTTAATTCAATATCATAACAAAATTAACATAGTTTATGCTGCCTGCCTTTTGTTATGAAATTAGAGCTGGCATGATGTAAAAAAAAGGGTTATGGTTAAAAATGAAACTGAAGCTGACCACACTTGGCCCATGATACATTTCAATAGTGGAGCCTATTGAGGTCATATAGCCACATGTTCCATAAAGTTGTCTAGTCCGTGGACTCAATACAAATACTGAGGCATGGAATGAGTCTAAATTTACTGGTAAACAGGGCACTGAGAGAAAAGGCTGAATGAAACTAGCAAGAATGTTAATGACAAGTTCCAAGGAAAAAAAAAATCACTAATAAATCCTATTGTGTTAATATAGCACTTCAAGAGTCACACATAGTTAAGAGTGTCCAAAAACATTGACGAACCCAGGAGAAATAATTATTCCACCCATAGATATTCTTATAGAGTTGTCTTGAGGGTGGAAGATGTCTTTGGAATGAGCTTCTCACATGTCTGCAATTGTGAATCAGATGAAGTTTTTCCATAGGCTTGAGTATGGAAACTTGCAAATCAAAGAGCCTTCTACATGGAAATAATGGAGAAATAAAAGTTTCTGCTTGGGTGAAGCATGTCAGATGTGTATTCAATGATTTCAGGTTGGAATACTGGTACAACACCACATACAGTTCAAACAAAAGTTGGAAATTTATTGAGACCCTCTTGACTTCAAGTCACTGAGGTCACATGTGTGGGTCATTCAGATCATTAATTCAAAGCAAGAATATGACAAGGAATATTTTTGCATAGATGCAAAATGGAAATCCCTGTCAATGACTCAAGAATGGCTCTGTCAATTGCTCTCAACAATCAGTTTTGGACATTCATCCAAAAAAAGAAAAGAAACTAGCCTCTAAAATGATTTTCTAAGACATCTGAAAAATAAACATTCAGTCTAAGCTTTTTGCTTTCAAGTACTAGGATAGAAGAAGTCAAGGACAGTCACCTATGCAACAAAATCTGTCTGAATAATGAGGATTTGCAGGAAATAAGAAAACAGACCTGAAACCTGACCTTAGTCACTGAGGGGAAAAAATATAGAAACTGAAAATTATTGTTAGCGTCAAAGCAAGGAAAAAAAGAATGCTTCTGATTAGTCACCATTCTTCCTCCTCTTCAATAGGGATGTCACGATGAACAGTCTCAGTCACTTCATCATGTAACAATGAAGGACTTGCTTCAACTGAGTGAGCAAAGCATATTCCTTTGCTGGGATCCATGATGACAGGAGTTAAGAACTCAGAATTGCTTGGAGATGTCCCCTGTGAAAAAATAGGGAAAGGAGCAGGTGGTGCTATGGTGGCACCTTTCAAATCCTCCACAACTTCATGTGAACCCATTTCTCCTGTCTCAGCACAAGGGAAATTCTGTTCCATGAAACCTTCATGGCTGATCCTGTCCTCTGCTTCATAGTCCTCATCATGCCAAGAGCCTTCAGCTTCTTCATAGTTCCCATTTGCAGTTTGATCTTCTGGCCCTCCAGTATTGTCATAGAGTTGATATTGTTGAAGCTCTCCATATTCTCTAACCTCCTGAGGTTCTTCTTCCTCTTTTGATAGATAGGTCTCAGCTGTTCTTTGATCATCTCCATTTTGATCTAGGTATCTGTCATTCCCTTTGTAAGCTTCAACTCCTTTTTGATCATGAGGAATTTGACCACCATTCTGCTCATCCACCTCATCCCATCCATTGGCTGCAAAGCTCAAAGCAGTTGTAAAATTTTCTTCTCCCATGTATCCTTCCTTCTCATCTGATTTGTCATTCCTATAACCATCTCGAAAACCTTCACTGTTATCCATAACCTGTGCATTCTCTTGAGCATAATCTGAGAACTTAGGAGTGGAAGAACGAAGTTCAGCCTCCTCCTCTTTTCTTTGCCTAGAAGCCAGTTCAACCTTAGTTTTCCTACTTGAACACTGCTGAGCCAAAACAAGGAGGTCTGGAGACAGAGGTCGAGGCACATGGAGGGAGCACAAGGAACCATGACGCACCAAAGAGTGAGATGCTGGCTTCACTCCAGTGGCAGTATCAGTCTTCCATGTCTGGTGTGAGTTATGTCCATTGTGCAGTTTCTTCAAATCACTCTCTGATGTTTGACGTGTTCGCCGTGTCCATGCCTGCCTCACTTCTTTTCTCCTCTTCTGTGCATCTGGCACCTGCCCCAAAGAACATGTGTGAGGTCGATTTGCCTGGGGTTTGTCTTTTTGCCCCATAGGAATTTGAACTTTTTTTTTCTCTTCAGCCTTGATTACATACTGGAGGATGAACTGGATCTCTCCAAGACTCAGATCCCTTTTATCTGGCTTTTGTCTCAACCCAATGCAGAGCATAAAGAAAAGAGATTCAGGAAGATGCAAGCTGTTGACAGTGAAAGTATCAGGAATCATACAGTGCTTTTTTACTGCTTTTTGAACATCTTCTTCCATGTAGAGGAACCAAGGAAGATGGCCAGATACAGTCTCCAAGATGACTTGACAAAGAGAAAAAGTGTCTGAGGCTTGGGTGGAATAATTCTGGTGCTCCAGCACTTCTGGTGCAAGCCAACGATGTAAAGCTGCATGGGCTAACAGTTGATTGTGCTTCCAGGTCACATCACCAGGTGGATCATGAGTTGAGAATGAATATTCCAAGCAACCTAGTTTTGCAGTGTTAGTTCCCACACACTGAACAGCATGAGAAGTTAGTGCTCCATGTATCCAGCCATGGCTATGCAAGTAAATGACAGCATCCACAATTTGTAGCAGAAGAGTCAAGCTGATGATGATATCAAGCTTTTCACCCATGACATGCAGTCGATGATGAAGAGACCCATACTGTATGTATTCATATACCAGAACAAATTTCCCAGAACTGATGGTGCCCATATAGGAGAACCCCATCAGGAAAAGGATCTGAGGATGGCGCAACTCTTTGTGGACTTCAAGCTCAGATATGAGGATATCATGCTGGGGGGTGTCCAAGCCTGAGGGCACGTCAATGAGTTTCCTCACACAAACCATCATGCACATCCTCTCACTCATAGAGCCAGTCCACATACATGGCAGCATCTCAGTATATTTCCCAATGTTGTACTTAGTCATGGTAGTATCACAGTGCAATTCTTCATGCATCATGAAAGGAAATGGTGCTCCAACTCTACCAAAACGATCTAGAATAGCATGTGGATCTTCTAATACACCTACGTTCTTCACCCTAGCCTGGGAATGTGGCCTTCTCCAGAATGCATGGGGCCAGCATTTTGCCCCTTGCCCACTCCAAAAGTCATCAAGAACAGAGAGAGCTCGATTTCGGGCACTTGCATTGGACTGTGCAAGGGCCCAGTCTCTAGGAAGTCTTCCTATGTTGTCATGCAAAAGAAAGTTGACTCCAGAATTCAACAATAACTTGATGATGGACCGATTGCCACAAAAGGCAGCAGCATGAGCTGCTGTGTAGCCTTCTATGCATCGACCATTGGGATCTGCCCCATGTTCCATCAAAATTTTCAAGACATCTAATTTCCCAAGATAAGATGGAAGAGAACAGTGGGGTTTGCCCATACTGGTTGAGAGTGCCTGGTGAAACACCAGCTCTGAGCAGTCTCTTCAGATATTCAACATTTCCTTGCTGAATGGCCTGGTGAAAATACTCCGCTATCACCGAGTCTTTGAACGACTTTGGTTTTTCTGGGGGAAGCTGCACAGGGCTTAAGTCGCATGCCCTCCTGTGTTGCATTCTGTGAAAAATCTTGAATTTCATGCAAGCAGAATTTTGATCGGTGAATCCAAAGACCTAACGTTAGGCTAACGTTATCAGGCGACAGGAGTTAGTGATACTCCTGCGCATCAGGTGGTCACTGTATCATAGGTTGCTTCAACCTGGGAATTGAGGTACAGATTTGCAGCTTTCAGAGTATGCGGGTATGAAAGTGTCAATCAGTTACCAAAAAGACGGTCTCACATTAAGCCTAGTCTACACAGTTACAGCGAAAGCTTCAGAGGAAGACAATTCTCAACAATGGAGCTCACATTGGGATTATATAAATCGTACCGGTCTTACGATATACCCCTAGTGGCCATCCCACAAGCATGTGAATCACACCCCAACAGTATATCTCTCTCGATATGCTCAAGCACACATGCCCTAGAATTACAGACAGACAGATATAGCCTAAAGGCAGACGTCCGCGAACACGCGAGACGATGGCGGCCGGCGGCTGGGGAACCCGGCTGCTTCCGCTTCCGCTTCCCCCCCCCCCCCCCCCCCCCCCCCCCCCCCCCCTAATGTTGCCTGCTCTCAAATTTCTTCGTCTGCATTGAGAAACAGCGCTCCTCAAAACTCACCTCAAAATCAGGGTCGGTAAGAGAATATTCGAGTGCTTAAGGCCCCAAGGAGATATGAAATATCGTAAGAATGATTCTCATGTAGCAAAACAAAAAACTAAACTCTCAAATAGAGCCGCTTGCTTCTCGTCTACCTAAGTGCGGGTTATTTCCACTTCCATTTTACCCATTGCGAAAATCGTGATGATGAAAATGTGTGTTAAGCAAGAAATGTATGTTAAAGTAAATTTATACAAAAATGATGTCCTAAGAATATTTATTTAATCATTTGTAGGTTGGCACATCCACAGCCATGCTGAGCCACTCCTGCGGGAGCCCGCTGGCAAAGGAATTCGACTAGGCGAAGATGCGCGGCAGCGATACCCCCCCGCCGGTGACAGTGATGCTCATTGCGGCGGAGGCGAGCGGGGCGAGCGCTCGGGAGGCGTCGTCATTAGGTGGGTTCATTTCAAAGTCTGTGATGTATTCCCCGTAAGATTGCGTTCTTCTATGGTCTAATTGTTTTCAGAATTGACATTTCCTCTATTCGCGTACTTAATTCGAGCAAGCGACGAGAGAGTTATGGGGCCGTTCACAAATTACGTAACGCAAGGGGGGAGAGGGGGGGGGGATCAGACAAAGTGTTACGGTTTGTAACGGGGGGGGGGGGGTTGCATGAGTGTCACGTAACAGATTTTATTCATTGAAAAAAATATAAATAAATTATGCGACGGGAATTTTTTAGAAGGGTAATTGTTTATTCACACGATACTAGAGCCAACCCTACTACCCACCCTTCCTAACAGTGGAGTGGGCATTGGGAGCGTGGGAACGTCTGTTGACTTCCCTCCCCTGTTGCAAAACTCGCGAAGTCGTAGTTTCATGCCTGGACCTGCCCAGACAGGCCAAACAAGCTCTGTTACTCTTTGGACGTTGTCCTCGTTCGTCTCAATCTCTGCCTCACGATCTCAATTTCCACCATTCTGCCCTACATTTCCCTGTCTCCTTTTACTCTTATAAAAAATCTGAAATGGGTGATCACCATCAATCAAAATGAACATAGACAAAGGAAAATTATTTCCTTGAAGAAATTGAATGAAAGAAAAAGCGTTATTTGCTTCAAACCGTGCATCCTTGGGCCGCGTCGCAAGGATCTCGTCGGGGGATAAAGGAAGGCCGAGGTCCCGTAAAATGTCGCGTGCGGATGGAAGCATTTTTAGCTCCAACGCCTCATCGACACACCTCGGGGCATTCACCTCGCCGTCGAGCACTTGGATCCAGGCCACAGCACCCCCGGACATGCAACCCCATATCACGACACTCGCGAGATGTTTCATCGTAACCCTGGTCTGGCAGCCTCCGACTAGATCGAACGCATCCCACGCCATCGCTACCAAAGATGGAGATGCGTGTCTCATGAGGCTTCACTCCGTTCTTCTTCGGTCCTCTGCAGATGTTCTTTGGCCCGTTTGGCTCTTCTCTGCCGGCTCGGTTCTTGATGGCTCCTAGACTTGCCAAAGAGCCCTATTTCTCTATGATTGTACCCTTCATTTCTCAATGTCAGAGCAGTAGCCCTCTTTTTAGGCGACCAATCCACTCTTTTGACAGGATTCATTGCAATATCATGTAATATGGGGGGGGGGAATACTTAAACCAGAAAATCACCTAACCTTTATATGACCAGAAAAGGTCATATAAATGCTTATATCAAATATTCACATCATTCAATGACAATGGTAGTGGAAAGTTTACAGAGCAATAACTTATAAATTAATAGCCTACCAACATGCATTTAAACCATCATTTATGAATTGCAAATCATAAATTTCTCTTTAACATACGTACCTGTAAAAATCACTATGGGCAAAATTTTGATGGTTTTTCAAGTGTTTCCGCAATTTTGGCCGCGAGTGTACTTAGCATTAGAATCGCCGGCCACAGATTAAATGGGATCGCGAATCACCACAGAGCAGTTAGACCGAAAGGTCGAAGTTCCCGTGTATGTCTATGGGGAATTACGCGGAGCCTGGGACACGGGCGGATCGGGGGATCCTCGGGGTCCAGCGGGCCGGGGCCCCTCGCTGCACGCCCTGCAGGTGGATGCGGGGGGGGGGGGGGGGGGGGGGGGGGGGGGGGGGGNGGGGTGGGGGGGGGGGGGGGGGGGGGGGGGGGGGGGAGGTCGGGTCCGCTGTCGCTGGGTTCGCAGTCGCTGGGTCCGCCGTCGCGAGGTGCCGGCATCGTTCTTCCTCCCTGGACCCAGTTTCTATACTTAAGCGATTCACCATAGCCCGGGAAAAAAGTATATTGTCTGCTTTGGCGGCAACGATCGGTTGATGATCATGAGAAGTAAGCAGAACGTGGGAGGCGAAAATCACGAATCGGTGTCTGTTACCGTCACTGTTTCGTAAGGATTGGATGTAAATCCACGTTCGTGGCATAAAACTATTTTTTAAATTGGCTATTGGGTGCATTCAAGGCGAGCGTGGATTGAATTGTTTTTCAAAGCTGCCGGTTTTCCCACCAGTCGACCATGATTCGTCTAACTAGGGCTAATTTTATTGATCCTTTCGGTCGAATGGAGAAGGTCGGTTGGTGGGTTGGTTCAGTTTAACTTCCACCCATACTCGCAAGAAGAAAGCGAATTTTAATGGTAAGAGAAAAAAATCGGCTTCAGCAATGTTGCCTTCTATTTACGCGAGGCAGGAGAGGATTTGTGAAAAATAAAACCAGGAATTGTAATCGATACGGTGTGACCCATAAATAAGTTTACCCTGTTAATGAACCAGTGGTTAAAATCCTTTGCTCTTTGGCAAGTCTATGAGCCATTTCAACAAAAGACTACGGTCATCAACCGGATCTAAAGAAAATGTATTTAAAAAAATAATAATAATAAATAAAGTAACATGAATAGCAAACCTAGTTAAATGAGAAATTAATTTAGCTGAAAATCTTTTGGTAAACTAGCTAATGGGCCACCCTGTGTATTTTAGGTTAAATCCCAAGGAAGACTGTGTTTTGTTTCGGAACGCTTAGGTTGCATCGACGCAAATATGATTCCTACGCGTCCTCTAAGCCGCAATACCCTCCAAAATCGGGAGGCAAAATTATGCCCTGAAATTATACTGACAGATATCTATCGACCCGAAAAAGTTTGCAATAGCGATCCGGGAGACACCTATACTCACAAGGAAAAATTACGGCACGGAGCTGCGAGCACCCTGGGTAGCGAAATTGAGGCAAGATCGCCGAGCGATCCCCTGCTATCCTTCTGTAAGAAGTACAAATAAAAAAAAAAGTAAATAACAACAATAATAGTAACGCAGATGTTGCCGCCTGGAGTCGAAAGCTGGATTGAAACGGACGAGTCCGTGTCATCAGCTTTGCGCTTCGTTCAACGATCCGAATCGAAGACGACCGCTCCTCCGTGCCTCGGATCATTCCACGCGGAATAGGATTACAATCCTTCACGGAATAAAACCTCTTTCAAAGACATCCGATCCATCCTGAGAGAAGAAAAAAAAGCCAGAGAAATGGATCCGAAATGCATCACAGCCCCTTCGATCGCAGGCATCCACGCATGTGACAGAAGCCAATGACGTCACGGGCGATCGATGCCATCCCGGTGAGGCCTCCCCGCGTCGCCCCAGTCTGTTGGTGAGCGTCGAGAGAGATGGGGCAGGCTGGGGATTCCGCGTGCAACAGGAGAGTGTTCCTCGCGGGGGTGCTGCACCTCGCGTATCTCGTCAAGGTCAGGGGGTTCAGGCCTGTGGTGGCTCGGTGGTGCGATTCTCATTTTTTTTTGCATCGGTGTTCTCTCGTGTTCGTAGGAGGTGGAGGCCGGGATCTGCAGCTATGTGGATAACAGTCTGCAGGTCTTTCACTTTCAGTGAGTTTTTTCTTGTCGTTCCGCGACGAATCGGCTTCTGGGCAGATGGAGCGCCAATTTTAGTGTCGATATTAATTTTTGTCGATATTTGTCGATTTTTACAGGTGCCGTAGTTACCAGTATTGCTGCGGCTTCAGCTGCTGCCTTTCCCCAGCCTTGTCATTCTATCGCCTCTGGTACTTCTGGTCAGTCCCACTCGTCTTTACCAGACCGTGGAAATCCCCCACGCGATCCCCCGACAACCCCCAGAATCCGATTACAGGCTCCTGATGCTGCTGGCGGTGCTGGTCTGCTCCGGCGGAGGCTGCTGGTACCGGCTGTACCGTCGGCCCCAGCCGGACCGGGCGGGACTGTTCGGGAACACCTGGTACTCGTGGTACGGATGGGTACCGCGGCGGTTCAGCCGGCAGGAGCACAACGGTTTCCCGGCTCACGAACACCCGCCGTTCAACGTCGGGCATCAGCAGCACGTCTGGTCCTACTTCAAAGGTTAGCCTCTTTTTTTTGTCGCATTTGCATGCCAAATGCGAAGCATTATCGCGCTTTCATCGGTCGATTTTCGAGTACAGCCTCGCCCCGAGCGTGAAGCGACTGATGCATGGCTGAGGGTGATAATAATAAATATTTATTCAAAGGGTGACATGGACCAGATCTGTTTAGCTTAAACTACACAATGGTGTCCTATGTGAATCGGTTTGACGGAGATAATTGTATTCCCATAGACGCCAATGACGTAGCCAGACGAGCTTAAATTAAGCGGATCTTTTGCGTGTCACCAATAATTTGGGCTAAACGCGAGACCTAGCGTCAGGCAAGAATCGTTAGTCCGAAACTAATCATCTTAGACACGTCAGTTTTATCGGATATAGTTGCATCTGAGTAAGATATGGGATGGTAATGAAGTCCTGTGGGGTGTTTACGGTGTCGTAGTGACCAAAGTAGATGGAGTTGGATCGCCAAACTTGCAGAGTGAACAGATAACGACAGGGGAAAGCCATTTGTATCATAAACGTCGAGTTGTTGCTACTATCATCCCAGGCAGGGCCGCCGGAGGTTTCTACTGTAGAGGCCCGGGGCAAAACGAAGCCGGAGGCCCCCAAGGGGCCTCCTTGAAGCCCTTTGGGGCCCCTTGATACGCGAAACCCAGGGCAGATTGTCCCCGATGCCCCTGCCTCTGGGCGGCCCTGATCCCAGGTGGCAGCACCGATTCCCGCTACGCAATATAAAGTCTGGCCTGGACGCACATTCCGAAGAGAGCAGCCTAATGATGACCCTCGACAAAAGGCTAGTCTCGTCTAACGTTATATTAACGGATGCAACGCTGAGCAAGCTTTTCCTGCATATTGGACCGAGACAGGTGACCGTCGTGGGCCCTGTACGATCCAGTGATGCAAGCGATAGTGCTACCACTTGGGATAATAGTGGTGCCATCTTGAATTCTATTATGAAAATGGCCTTCCCATGTCATTTGTGCAGTCTGCAAGTTTGTAAATCCAGCTCCATTTACTTTGGTCGCTACGACACTGTAAACACCTCACAGGACTTTTTAACCCCCCTGTACATAAAAAGTTCGCAGGGTGTTGTGCTACGTTAAAAAAAAAATCACTTAAAATGTATTTCTCTGATGGCATGAATTTGAACGGCTAAAAGTCTGGAACGAAATAATTCTGGCCCGTATGGGTGGGGAGGAACTGTGGAAGTCTCGTGTTTCTACGTCTGTGCTACAGTGGCCGAGAACCGCTCCACCCTGCTGGAAAGGATGGGCCGGGCAAACCCCCCCCCCCCCTCCCTAATCAATCCCTTAGACGGAAATCCAGGGACTCTCGAGACTTCCCCTCCCATCATTAAGGTTTCAGTGCTCCCCTGGGCTTTCGGTCTCGCCTCCTGGAGGCGCTCGCTCTCTGAATTTCCTCTTTTACTCGATTGCACGAACACGATCGCGGGAGAGTGTGACCTCGATCGGCTCGGTTGCATGCCGAACGACGGCCAGGGCCGGAGAAGAATGGTTTATTGATGAGATTTCGATCAACTTCCCACTTATCTAACACGAATCCTGGGTCGAGCGGGAGTCCAGTAGCGGAGAAGTAATGACACTATCGTTAAAGGAGAGAAAAAAATAAAGAACGATTACTTACCCCCTCCTATTGTCATTCATTGTCATAACGATTTTTTATGAGGTAAACACATGCACTTCTTTCTGAATCTCCCACCACGCAGATCCGCCTCCATACAGCCAGGAACCGCCCCCATATCATACGTCGTGGATGTACCCAGAGCCAGAGGAAGTGGAGGAGGACCGGCGCCACTCCCATTCGGGCTCCCAGGCCAGCGGAACCGCCCCGACGCCCCTCCGGGAGAGGGACGTGGAAGCGGACGAGGAATCCCAACTCCCGAGTTACGCGGTGGCGTTCCAGAACCTCCCCATGGAAGAGCAAAGGCGTGTCTCCCGGGGATCCGTCTTCAGCGTGGGGCTTGGAAGCATCCCAGGGGGAGATGAAGGCCGTCCCTCGGCGGACGAAGCCGGTGATGGAACGCAGAAGCTCCCTCCGGTCGAGGACCCTTCCGACCAACGTAGGAAAAGGGACGACCCATAGCGTGCGGTTGGGGGATGCCCTCAGGGGATGACAGTGAGAATCTTCCCGTCAATGAAGGAAACAAGACGACTGTGGCGTTTCGCCGGGGGTGATGCCCTCGAGGGATGAGAGTAGTGGCCTTCCATCAGACGACGTCAGTGACGTCACGCCAAGGATTCCCCTCGGCTGGGGAATCGCGACCGTCGGACTTCATCCCTTTCTTGTCATCCTTCCCCTCTTCCCCCCTTTCTACTACCTTCTCGTCCTCATCTCATCTTTCATGTGAGCGCCAAACCCCGCCTGGAACGCTTCGTTCCATAAATTATGCATTTAAACCTCTGTAAGCTTATTTATGCTGAGATTGTTCCGTCATATCACCCCGGTGTTGTCGTTGTTTGGCATACAAATTTCGTGTCGAGCACAGAAAAAATAAACGCAGAATTCTTTTTCCGATTATTCTGAGAGACAGTCACTTGTGAAACAAAGCATCGGTCGAACATAAAATGCAGTCGAAAGCGAATCATCGTAACGTCCCATGGGGACCACAAATAGAGCTGTAATCGGCGAAGCAAGTGTCCAAATGGGGGAGTAGAGCCCTATCACAGTAGCACCGTCGGGGATAAAAAGAAAAAAATAGGGCTTTCTGGGATTTCGTGACTTGACCCCGTTCTCTGCGAAATCGGCTGGTCCTCTCCCCGGATGATCAGAAAAAGAAAAAAAAAATCACTTTATGGCGATGTTCTCGTCGACCAACTCCAACGCCCTGTTCTCGATCGCCAGCACACTGTCTGCAAGATGAAAGAAATTCTCATCTTGCATCACACAGCCCTCATGTCGCAAGATTCCCTGCACTTCGGCCTTTGAAAAATGACTCCACCCCGATGTTACATCGACACCTGAATTTCTCACGAGAAGCAGTGCGTTCAAGGTGCCACATAAAATTCCCATGCAATCGAACGTCAGAGCGCTCCCATAAAAATGCAATCAGATCTGAATATCAGAGCCGGTCCTTCAGCTTTCCTCCATCTTCCTCACCCGTGAACTTTCTCTCGCTCGAACGTCACCGGAATCTGTGTGAATTAACATTATGCTGTTTATTTTTTATTATTTATTTATTTATTTATTTTTTTTTTTAGTTTATCTTCTCGAAATTTACATACTAAATTTCCCAAAGGATGGAAAACTTTCAAAGGCAAAATGGATGGCGGGATTCTCGACGCTGTGAATTGTAAAATTTTGTGAGGTTTGAAGCAGATCTTTCCACAAGCACTGACAAAACCTTCGCGCCAGCAAATGCTTAAGAAATTTCATTTCATGTTCCAGCTGAAAAACAAACAGAAAGGAATAAATAATGAAATCAAATGATAAATAATAAAAATAAAATTTAAAATATGCAGGACAGGGCCCAGCGGGAACCTTTCACCGAGAGGGGCTTCGCTTTATCACTTCAGAGGGAAAAAAAAAATAAGAAATTCTAAATCTCGTCCAACAAGATCCATTTCTCGATTATTTTCATTTAAAAACATGAAATCACAACTTAGAGATGATGTCTCTCTGCAGCGTTGAGTGCGAGGAAGGAAGCCGACAGCATCCATTCCAACATCCATTCCGACATCCATTCCAACATCCATTCCAGCATCCATAACGACATCCGTAACGACATCCATTCCCATATGAATAGCAATGTTAGTTCCTTTCTCACCAAGAGTCGTGCGCATGCGCAAGTTTCAAATCAACAGGAAACAGCCTATTATCGGCACGTTTTCCGAGAACGAGCCCGGAACTCTTCACTTACCGAGACATCAGTTTGACAGCAAACAGAGAGACCATTTTTTTAAAGCTAATCTCCCTGTCTGTTGTAAGATCGGTGACGGTATTTTTTTGTTACCGCCTAACAACGTGAGACAGACGCAGACGGGGCGGAATCAGCAGGCGACCTCGTTCCCTTTCCGGAAGGGGGAAAAAAATAAGAGGCGAGTGGGTGTCTGGATCAGGTTCCGCGCACTTCATTAACTCTCTATCGCGGGACATCGGCCCTTCAATAAAAGCTCATAACACCTTCCTCGCGGTGAGGATCGACGAGAGGATCGACGATCCTCACGGGCGAGCCCTCCGAGCGGCGGCGAGGCGAACATCCCCAGCGGTGAAGTAAGCATCCCGCGGGTACGCGTCGCAACGCCTCCGCGATTCATCTGCCTTTCCGACGCAAAATCCCATCGACTGATCAATTAGTTCCGCACCTCCCTATTTTCCTCCCGGAACGTGGGGGGTCTCTACGGGCAATTTTAAGGGGAACTTGACTCTTTCGACTGCTCATTACCCGTCTCGACTGTAATTTTCGAGTGTCACATGCTTCCACAGCCAGACGAAAATTCAGTCAGGACCTCGACCGACCCGATCGACCAAAGGCATCGTCACAACGCCTCCTCGCCGTTACTTTGCCAGCCACCCCGCAGCCGAAGATCTAGGGCATCTAAAACATCTAGGGCATCTGGGCCATCTAGGGCGTCCAGGAAAGGCGTCGCACGCCCTGCTCGCTCCGTATGGATTTCCCGATCCGGGCATTACGCAACCGGGGGGGGGGGGGAATCATCGATCGCGTCCGTACTTTCCTGAAAGCGTCCATGAATTTTTCAGCGTTGCCTCGATTCTCATCAACAGGGTCATTCAAAATCGACTCCGTTCAGTCGCGAGTTTATTGAAACGCCGGTAGACGCCTGCGCGGGCTCGATTCTCCTTCGCTACTCAGAAATTCAGCTAATTGTACCGGGTGGGGCAAAAAAAAAGCGTCCTGTCTGCCGATAAAACCTGCCTTATAAATGGAACGGTCGAGAATACGATACTCGGCCATAGAAAACAAGACTCTATGGCGCCAAAGGAGAGAAAACTTTGGAAAGGGGATGGAACGGCTCCAGCATGTTAAGTGGAAAAAAATTAATTTCCTAACAGAAGTTTGAATAACATGCTTGACTAAAACGGTTTAGACACTTCAAACTTTCAAAAAAGAACTTTAGAGTGCTCTCTCTTACACCAAAAAAGAAAGGACAAACCTAGCAGTTAACCGAAAGGTTATGGCCTCGACCACATCAAAAAGTGTTCTATGCAATTTTTCTTGGCAAGTTGACTTGCAAGGAAACTTTCACTTTCGCGACGAGGACATCCTTGAAATTTTATTGGCAATTTTTTCAATTCTCGGGGATATTTAGTTGCAAAAATATTTTTTTGCAACATGAATGAATAATATATATATTTTAAAATGAATAGTATTTTTTAAATGAATATTTCCACGCCTTACCGGTCTTGGGAATCTCCATCTCGACGTCCTTGGGGTCCCTGCCGGCCTCCACCGCCTCCCTCCTCTTCCGCTCCGCGCGGAGCCTCTTCAAGAGGGTGTACTCGAGGAGGAGGTAGACCGCCCCGCATGCCCCCGTCGTGGTCCCCCAGATCCGGAAGCTGCCCTGGATCCCGAACGCGGAGATCAGGTACCCTCCGACGAATGTCCCGGCTCCCTTTCCTGCGTTTCGGAATCTCGTGTTTAAGAATTAAAGCTTTAAAACATATATGAAAAATAATATAATGAAAATAATAATAATAATAAAGTTTTATTTTTTTAATAAAAAAATAAAAAATTAAACACAAAAGTCCTAAAATAATAAATTTATAAATACAGTATTAGTGAATACGGCAAAAAAGAAAAATTAATGAAACAATGAACCAGCTCCTTATGTGTCTGACCCTCTGAATTCCCGCAGCACAATGAGGTCAAACCCTTAATTGCCTTTTGGCGTCCTGACGCTTCTCCAAAGCCTGCTTGAGCCGAGATCTCAGCACGAATTATTAATTAGTTGCACTTGGAAGAATGGAGGCAGCAATAATGAAATTAACACCACGCCGTCCCCACTGTAAGATTAATGCAGGCAGGAAAAAAAACATGGAGCAATTATTACACGGAAATCGTACAGCAGTCCTACTGAACAAGAATGACAAAGTTCAAGAATTATCTCTGGCGAATACATGATACCATTATAATCATATCACACAATAAATTGCAAGAAAATGCAATTTATGGGACTCCAGATGAAGCTCGACGAACCGCAAGCATCCCACAACACAGATTTCCGATCGAATTCGCTCCACCTTTAACTCCGCGTGCCCAATGTTATCGCGTTAATGCTAATTTTACCAACGTTATCAACCGTTACCAACGTTATAAAGAGGGGAAGACTCACCGAAGGAGAAGTGCATGGCCCCCATGACCCCGGTGACGGTGGCGAGCAGGCCCTTGGGAGCGATCACGGTGGCGTAGGTCGCCGCCGCCACCCACATCAGGTGGTAGGTGAACACCTCCAGCGCCTCCAGCGGCAGGGCCAGCCAGGGGTTCCTGGAGGGAGTGAGTTCTGTTCAGGGTTTTTGTACGGGTTTAATGCTCGGTTGCCGGAATGATCCTCGACCCCCGCTTCGCAGAATCGGCGAGATGAATCGTGGATAATGGGGCCATATTTAGGCCCCATCCCCATCGACAGATGCATCTCCATCGCGCACCATGAGGATCGCGATGACAAACGAGCCCCGTTCCCATCCGACCCGCAATCACGCCGAGACGATTCCATATATTTCTCTGCCCGCGACAGAGGCACTCGGCCACAGAGACGGAACGATATCGCTTCGGCGGAAGCGGCGATTCCCCCGAAGCGATTCCCCGGACGTAAGCTCTTGATTCTCCCCATCCATCAGGATCCGATCCCTCCCTACCCCCCCCCCACCCCCCCCCCCCCCCCCCCTCCCCCTCCCCCCCCACCTCCCATCCCCTCCTCCCTTCCAAGAGGGAGGATGCACGACGAACTCAGTTGCCGATGCGGGATCGAGCGCTCTCCGAACGCACCCGCTACCTCGAAAGCCCCCAGCTTTCTGTTGCCAGGCATCCTCCCGAAACTTGCAGTGTTTTATTTAAAAATCATGAAAGGTGGAGCAGTGCGTGCAGGGAGCTCGAAAGGATCGACCCGTATACGATCCGCCTGCAAGAGCAACTAACTCGCTCTCTGAATTCCATGGTAATTCCGGTACGAAAGCGAATTCATGAGGTGCTTCAAAAGCGAAGCAGCGGGAAATTAGTGGCGTGGATCCGTTCGACGATGCGGATACCGAATGGCGCGGTCGGACAACATGTTGTTCGGTCGGTGTCACGTGACTCTTCCGTGCCATAAATAAAGGGGCCTGCGGAATGGGAAAGACGTCATCATCCGGCACGAAAACAACAACGACGTAGATGATCGGTTCGAGAACGGAAGAAACGCGGCGGGCAGCTTCGCGCCGGTACGGTCCCCGCCGCGATCCGCCGCGAAATCTCTTCGGACCGGCAGCGCGGCAAATGCGCCCCGAAGAGCCGAGGTCGCCGCAGAGGTCGTCGCAGACGACCCAGGAGATCGCGACAGACTCGCCCTGACGACTTCGCTCACTGGCGGCTCCAAGCAATCGCGTCATACGGTCGGAATTCGCACGCTACGACTTAGGCGCATGACCAGAAAGTCACAGTGCGGCGTGTCTCCACGGCGAATTTGACCCCGGAACCACCGAAAGGCCAACGCCAACCCGGCCCTAAATCGCCAGACCTCTGGTCACCCGATTCTCCCGCACCGACCCAACCGCCCGACCTCGCGGTCGGGCAACCACCCAACCCAGTGGTCGGGCAACCACCCACCCCAGGATATGCGTCAGTGAGCGCATTCAGTTGCGACCCGAGTCGCGACTCGAGGGTCTCAGTTCAACGCCTGGACCGAGGCTTCAAAAGAAATTTTTCTCCACGGTGTGGTGACACCTCGAGCCAACGTCATCGATCCTGGCTATAACAGTTTTTGAAAAGCGCCGCACCTGCCGAGAATCACGAGAACCTCGAGTCACGACCCGGGTCGCAATTGCATGCGCCCGGTGCGAAACGCGTCGCACGAACCTGTGACCACCTGCGCCGCCACACGTGTGGACACATGTGCCCATGCATCTCGGCGCTACGGTCGCCTAAACGGAGCGTGTGACTCTCGAAACACCTCTCGTCGCACCCGTCGTCCTCGCAGCCCGAACCTTCCCGGCCCCGTTCCCTCCCGAGAGACATCTAGCGTCGGCCGAGCCAAGGTCTGAAAATCCGCATCTCGACAGACGATGACGTCACCGACCCGTCACGGCCCCGAAATGTTTCCTTCTCGAAATTGCGATCGGCCCACGATCTTTCTGGGAGGTGCCGTTCGGAGGTGCCATTCGTTACCTCCTCGTGCCCACCCAGAATATATTTTTACGACTCCATCTTGGTAAAGAAAATGCCAAAGGCCAAGACGCGAGACTATTTTTACGACGACGATGACGGGGGACCCAATTTCGACACACTATCGGATTAACGTTACGTAATTAATGCCGCACGCTTCAAATTGACGCACGATGACGTCACCAACCTTTGAATTTTCCATTTTTGTCAACTTTTCCATCGGCGGGTCCCGGTCCTTAATGGGTCGCCGAGCGGCCGCACACGGCCCGAACGATTAATTTAATTTTTTTACCATGTTATTTATTATTTTACATGTTATTGATTTTTTTTTACCACGCGTAATCAGCATCAGGTTTCATTGAAATCGGAATTTCGTCCATGAAGAGATTCATGTTCTCCGGAGAGAGTTACCAGATCACCGAGCCATGTGCCCCACCGTGCCATGTGCCCCACCGAGCCACGTGCCCCACCGTGCCATGTGCTCCACCGAGCCATGTGCCCGACTCAGCGTTGCGAAGCGACGGGAATCCGGAACGGCGAATCGCGCGACCCCGTACACGGTCCGCTTTCCGAAGCGAATTCATTCTAGCGACTGGAAATCGCCCTTTGCGCGCGGGAATAGCAAGGTCGCGCAGAATTTTTTTTGCGCCCGGTCGATGAAGTGCCGATTTTCGACGGATTCCGCAATCGTCCAGGAGAGAGTACGATTCGCGCTCTGAAGTCCTCTTTTGGCAATAGCCCGAAAGGAGAAGAAAGCGCAAAAGCATTTTTGCCTTGCAGATTTTGCCCATCACAATTTGCGCGCATTCGGCAACATCGCCCGGACGACCCTGCAACTCCTCGCATCGATTTGGCGCTTTTACCAAAAATGCAAACCGAGTAACGGCGATTACTTGAAAATTGGCTCTAACGAAAGGATGGATAAAAGACCTTAATTGCCGATTGCCTACCCCTAAAAGACGCCAATAACCACCATCCCAGCGGTTCTAATCGTTGCAGCAACACCGCTGCACCGACATCTGCGCATCGCTGCACCGACATCTGCGCACCGCTGCACCGACATCTGCGCACCGCTGCACCGACATCTGCGCCGCACGGGTCGCGCGCCACAGAGAATGGCGACCGTTTTAGACACTCTTGCTCCCCTTTTTCCCCACCGAGGAAATCGTCAAATAGCATAAATAATAAACTAACACTCCCTCGATGCGTATGCGACTGCCGCGCCCTCGCAACGACACGCACCGCCATCTGGCGTTCACGGAAAAAATCCCACGAACCAAATCCCTACCGTACCCTTCAACTCCGACCAAAAAAAAATCAAATCAAAATAGAATAAAATTAAAATAAATTAAAATCAAAACAAATAAGATAAAATAACAATTAAAATTTAAATTAAATGTAAAAATTTTAGAAGAAAAAAAAAAGGAACGAATGAAATAAAAAGAATCCGACGACCCACGTGATGTACGAGTACCCATAGCACCTGGCCAGGTACACGAAGAAGGCCGCGATGATGATGTTGACCCGGCCGACCCTCTCGGTGATCCGCTCCGCGCCCCAGAGGAACGGCACGCCCGCGACGCACGACACGGTCAGAGTCAGGCCGAGCAGGTAGACGGGGGCCTCGATGGCCTGCAGGTAGATGAACAGGTAGGCCTCGATGTAGCCCCAGCAGGCCCCGAGGACGAAGATCATGACGAGGAAGACGTCCACGTCGGGGAAGCGGAGGAGTCGGCCGAGGTTCGCGAACATGTTCGCCGGCTCGGTCTCCACCCGCAGGTCGAGGAGCGAGAGGAGCAGCGCGTTCGCCAGGAGGAGCACATCCGAGATGGCGAACACGGGGGCGTAGTCTATCTCCCCTGTTTGGTAAGGTATATGCATATTTTATTTATTTACTTATTTCATTTATCACGAGGGTCATCCCAAAAGTTCGAGAACGAATGCGAATATTTTCTTTGATCCGGCAGCAACGGTCTCATCGTGCTCGTATTGATGTCTCGTGGTGCTAATGATGGCGCAATTGCTCCTCCCCGTTCCAGAGATATCGCATTTTCAAGTAGACTTCCATTTTCCCACTACGGAAGATGATGATCGGGCACAGCGAGGCGGGATTTGGTAGGAGAAAATTTTTTCACTGGCCGCAATAAATTTACGGGGACAGAACTTTTGGCAGAAGTGGCATAAAATAAGTGCCTCGAAGCAGAACGGGACACGGTGGACGATTCGCCAAGGTTTCGACCTTGACCTTGGAGCATGCTCCCGCCGTGAACCAGTGGGTTCAAGGGGAAACCCCAGCAAACCGGTCTGAACCGGTCTGCCGAAGGACTCTAGCAGCCGATAGAACGGTCGCATAAGTGTGTGCAGCTACACGGGAAGCATATCGAGAATAATGCAGCATTTGGTGTTTCGACTTCATGTAAAATGAAATGTTCTCCAACTTTTGGGATGGCCCTCGTGTTTCATTTTATTTATTTCTTTTTATTTATTTCTTTTTATTTATTTCTTTTTATTTATTTCTTTTTATTTATTTCTTTTTATTTATTTATTTCTTTTTATTTATTTCTTTTTATTTATTTTTTTTTTTTTATTTCTTTTTATTTATTTCTTTTTATTTATTTATTTCTTTTTATTTATTTCTTTTTATTTATTTCTTTTTATTTATTTCTTTTTATTTATTTCTTTTTATTTATTTCTTTTTATTTATTTCTTTTTATTTATTTCATTAATATATGCTGGAAAATATAGGCTGGTCCAACAAAAATGTAAGCGCTGAAAATAATTGGGGTTCTGCTTAATGCAGCAGCTTGAAATGTGGCAGCGGCGGCTCGGTTCACGATTCCCGCAAGGACAAGCTGCGACTAATTCTACACACAACAAAAAAAAAACTAAACAGCTTTCCAAAGTGGCAGTCCACCTGTAACCCCTCCGCACGAGGCATCCCCGCTGAAAGGTTCAAGGTTCAAGGTTCAAGGTTCAAGGTTCAAGGTTCAAGGTCCAAGGTTCAAGGTTCAAGGTCCAAGGCCCCTTTCCCCGTTCCCAGTTCCCATTTCGATGGACTGAAAATTCCGAGAAATTCGGCTCGAAGAAACCTCTGATTGAATTCTTTTATCCTTGTGAGCCCTGCCACCATGACCGATCCCACATCATAAAGAATGAAAGCGAGAGAGATAAACGGACACGAGCCCACAAAGAGCCGAGAAAAAGGCCGGAACGAATCGAGGCATTCTCGGCCACCTCCGAGAAAACCCTCTGACGTCAAGCGTGACGTCCAGGGTCTCGCCACTGCATTAACGAGTCTCCCGCTCGCAAACGACCCACTCCCCGGCCCGCCCCGCCCACTCACCCGAAGCGGACGACCCCTCCGACACGTAATCGACGACGGCCCCCGTGACCGGCGAGAAGACCGCCATCGCGATCAACGCCCACAGCCTCTGCTTCCCGTAGTCGCTCCTGTGCAGCTTCACCATCGCCAGCGCCGTCGCATCCAGCAGACTGAAGCCGGAGGACATCGCCAGCGTCGCCACCACCCTGAGCACCGCGTACATCCACACCACCAGCGCCTCCTCCCCCTCCCCCGGGCACCTCTCCTCCGCCTCTCCCGTCACCTCGCACTCCACCGGGCACCCGCCCGGGCATCTCACCCCGTCCAGCTCCCATCGATGCTCCGTCCCGTTCGACAGCACCGTCACCTGTCGCAACCGGTGTCGTTTCGCTTCATCCGGCCCGCTTAAGAGCGGTGGGAATTCTATCGTCGACCGTCCTTGCGACGCGCGATGGAATTTCTCGGCGCGGGGAACGCCAGCCGGGAGAATCTCGTACTCTCTCATCGAAGATAACGCTAAGAGCGTGAATTGGTTCGGTTTTCCAGCTGGATAAGAAAATACTGCGGTTTGTTTTCTATGGGATTTTTGCGCGAGAAACTCGAAAGCTGCCCAGTCTGTTCTTTTACGGGATTTAATTATTCCAAGTTGAAAAACCCAACCAGGCGGATTCCCACGCGACACATCTCCTACCGTTAGCTGTATATTCGATGAAGTTTCCATATGGGACCGTCCGAGGGTTTAGAACTTCGTATCGATGCTCCCAGTGCTGAAAACTCGATCGTCGCGAAGCATCGCAAGTCGGCATGAAACGGTCGAAACGACCTGATTCAAACTTGAAATTGCATTTTTGCTTAAATCGGCTTAAACAGTCGAAGAGGGCACGCGATCGCGAAACCCTAAAGACAAACCGTGCTCAGAAGGAGGCCCAAACCGTCCGCGGCCGCCTCCCCCGCGGCCGCCTCCCCCCTGACGTAGAAGACCGTCTGGGGACCCACGTCGAGGCAGTGACCCGCGTCGCACACCTTCAGGGCCTGGCGACGAGGATCAAAGAGGAGAGGTCAGAGTCCCTCGAGCGAGACACTCGAAGCGACAGCAAAAGACCAGAATACATGCTACAAAACAGCAAAGCTAACTCGAGAGTTTAAAAAACCTACAACGACAAAGCCAAAATTGATACTAAAATTGACACTAAACTAAGACATAAAACGATACGCGAGAATCAGAACCGCCAACCCCAAGAAGCCGAGGAAGAAACCGAGAAACCCGAGAAGAAACCGAGCAGACATTCGAATCCTCACCTCCTCGACGCCCTCCTCCCCAGCACACCCTCGACGACACCGCTCCACCCTCCAGTCCCCGATCCACCCGCTCACATTGCACCCGCTCCCCCCCCTCACCTCCACGAACGCCCCTCCCCCGCACCCGAACCCCATCCCCCTCTTTGCCACCTCCTCCCTCTTGTACGCCGGCAGGGCCACGAGCAGGCTGTGGAACACGGCGTTCGTCACCAGGCACAGCAGCAGCACCGGCTTGTAGTTCCCGAACTTGTCCGCTATGAGACCTGGAACGGCACGATCGGTTTGGGGTTTAATGTATCACAATGATTTATCGATCAGCATCTCTTCGCAGCTAGTCGACAGAAATGTGTCCTTGATTTATGATTCCATGGTAGATAGGGAATCTTGAGAAATTCTGATTCCTGTAGTTTTTTTTTTGTATATTTATTCATGGTTCCACGACCGATTCTTCAACTACTGGAAATTCATGCAGGAAAAACCGGACGATGCATGCTTACTTCCAAGTCTGCCTGTCGGCCGATAAGGATTTAATCGCAATCCCCAAAACAAAACAAAACAAAAAACAAGCGGAGAACAGGTAAATTTTAAAATGAAAATGCTCACTCCCATCTCGTCCGAGGCCGGGACCGAGAAGGCAACGAGACTCTCGAAATCGGGACTCCCGTTACTCTCTCTCATCTCCAAGGGAGATCGATCTCGCTCGAACAGGAAACACGGCAGAATCGGGATAATCGGAATCCCAAACGTGACTACCACTGAGACCTTGACCTATAAAGCGTTCCCGCAGCCTTCTACACCGAATCGACGCGTTCCAGGACGATCGGGAAATCGATAGCCTCTTTTTTCTGAGAAAGATAAAGAGGCATCCACCGGCGGATCCCTCTCGCACGACTCCCTGGCCCCCCGCCAAAAAGAAAGACAGGTGGGCCCGCCTCACCCGTGACGACCCGCCTCACCCGTGAAGTCCGACCCTCCTCACCTGTGATGGGCGGCCCCAAGAAGGAGGTGAACGGCAGCACCGCGTAGATGATGGCGATCTGCTCGTAGCTCATCCCCAGCTGTTTCATGTGGATCGTCAGGTAGGGCAGCAGTGACGCCATCGCTGCACGCAAAACACCTTTTTTTATTTTCCGTCCCTTCTCATCCAACGGATTTCCACACGTTTGCAAGCAAGGACAAAAGATAAGGTCGAAGACAAATGTGAAAGGCAATGCACACAAAAAAAGGACAAAAGGGGGAGGGGGGGAATGCAAACAGTTGGTCCTCGGTAACCAGGTCGGGATACAAAAAAAAAAATATTCTTACTTAAAAATTTATTTTTCCATGGACATCCAGTCAGCCTAAACCAACCAATTACGAAGGAGCTGGTTCCTACATCAAACACGATACATTCTTAGACCCTTCCCCGCTTTTCGTGCTCCTCTCTCATCCGGGGGAAATTCAGCAATTCCAGTCAGCTTTTAAGTTTCTCACCTAAAGAACTTCACTTCCTCCACCGACCATTTGGCAACGAGAAAGAGCTCTTTGGCATGTTCCCTGTGGCCTGCGAAGCTCGCAATCTCTTGCGAATACTTTCGATATGGATTACCCCATATCGATAAGTATTAAAATATAAATACGGGGACGAATTTGTGCGAAGTGGATGCTTCTTTCTCGTCACCCAAGTAATTACAGCTATTTCTGAGCATATTCGCGTTCGTCCTGAACAAGGTTTCCGTCTGATATAAACCCCAAACACTTTATTTCATCTCATTCCATTTTTGTAGGCATATCGCAATTTCAGCGGGAAGACCGACGCTTATATGTTAAGGTTTCATTGCGGGTCGTTTTTCTTCGTTTTGTATGATGCGATCCATGATCCGGCCTCTTCGCAACAGGGAAATGGCCGAGCCAGAGGAGAAGGAAGGGACGAAGACGCAAAGCGTGCAACAGAACGGGGACGTGCTGCCGAACGGGAACATCCATAAGAACGGGGAGTCGGGCAAGGCGAAAGGAGGCAGACGGAGGAGCTCCTCCGCCTCCGCCGATTGGGACTTTGGGTTCGTGAAGATCAACAAGGCCCTCCTCCCCCTCAAGGGCCTCCTCTTCTGCTACTACGGCGGTGAGTCGTTCGCTTCAGTGATTCGGGTTTCATCGGGAGGGCGGTCGATGTCGTGGAGCTTCGGTCGGGCCGGAGTCCGAACCGGAACCGAACTGCCGTTTTTGTAGGGAACGAATGAGGGGATGTGGGACATCAGAGGCACGGAAATGCATTTCAAAGGAATGCCTGAATGCCGAGTGGCCGATATCCGCGGGGATTCACGAGGGCCGTATCGTGGAAAACCGTGCGGACGGATTACATCCGGAAACGCCCGGAACGCGTTTTCACGGCACAGTTGAGCGGTGGGAATCGAACCCGGAGACCCCCTTCGTCCCTTTATTTTAAATTTAAATATGCAGATCGCGACGTGAGCCGAATGCACGATTCACCGGCGCCAAGGACGACGCAGAGGCCGTGTTTCCCGGTCACTCGACCCGGAGAGTCGGCACGTCAAATTCCGCGATGTCGTCTGGCTCTGTCACGGGCCTCGTTTCAAGTCGTCTTGCCGACCCGTGTCGGTGATGCTGCTTTCGTTCCGTACCGAGGTTATGGGGATAAAGAAAAAAGTTCTCATCGCAATTCACGTATGCAATGGTGCTTCATTCGACTCTTTTTTTATTATTCAATTTTATTCAGTTCAATTTATTATTTTTATTCGATGGAAAATTCATGAAATAACGTTTCATGAATGTTTCATCG